GATCTGTGTAAGATGGAGAAAGAAGGGGTGCTGGAGTATGTGTGGAAGAGCAGCCCATCTCTGGGCTTTCTCTGCCTCAGGAGTGCTGAGTGTGCTCTAGTTACTAGGCTACCCTGCTGTTTCTTCCTGTCTCGAGGACGGCGAGGAGAAGGCTGCTGGGATCCCACCACTGGTACAGATCGGCTTCAGAGAGCCAGACATTTCCTTCTGTGGGCTTCCCCCATCAAAGCCTGCCCTAAGAGAGGACAAGACCACTTCATTTAGGTCCTGGTCCTCCTGAAGATGAGCATTGAACACACATTTCGATGTTTTGTTTCTTCTGAATAAAAATGTTGAAGCTCTCCAGAAGAACCCAGATCTTACAGTTCTGACTTGATTTCTGTGTCAGACTGACATTTCCGCTGACCTCTAGGCCCGGGATGGTCTTTCTGACTATTCTCTTAGGAGTTGATTGTGTGTGTGTGCACATATGCACATGGAGAAGTCAGAGGACAGCTTTCTGAAACTGATTCTGCCCTCCTTTGAATGGGTTCCTGGGATCAAACTCAGGACTTGCTCAGCAACCACCCTGAGCTGCTAAGACATCTTGCTGACCCTTGTTCGTTATTTTTGCTGCACGACATTTGTGTGGGACTTGGTGCACCACACTTCCTGGTTAAGATCCAGTTCTCAAGAGGCCATGCTGAACTGGTAGCTCTCATTCTGCTGGTTTGGCTCTAAGTTCCCAGATGACTGTGTACCTTGGCCTTTTCTTTTTCCTGTGTTGTCTTAGACTCATCTTCTCTCCAAGAGGCACACTGGTTTGCTGCTGTTTCTCACCAACAGACCTTTCCGTTTGAGCTCAGGTTTATCTTGAATGGACTTTCCAGGAGGGAGTTACTGAGGGTTAGGCGAGAGCTTCACTGCCTTTCTGTGGAAACCTCACAAGCCTTTGGAATGTCTTGTCCCAGTGCTGTGGGAGGAGCGATGAGGCTCAAGTGACTTTGAAGAATTGAAGGTGGCTTCAGTTAGTTTACTCCTGTTCCTATCCTGAGATCAAGACAGCGGGAGTAGCTGTGGGAAAGTCGTGTGCCCACTGGTGGCTGAAGATAGAATGGGTTCTTTCTTCTGGCCAGGAGAATGTATATTTCTGGAAGGCCATTTTCTGTGGGTAGCATCCAGTGTGTGAAAACCTGAACCTAGCGTGATAGCAAAGCTTGCACAGTTGGAAATACTCCTTTCCACACGTTCACTCCAAGAGCGTCTGCTTAGCTGACACCCTGAAGAAGCTGGGCACTCCCGGTGTAGTGGAAGAGGCCTTTGATCCCAGCACTCAGGAGGCAGGGGCAGAGACTGCCAGATCTCTGAGTTCCAGGCCAACCTGGTCTATACAGTGAGTTCCAGGACAGCCAGAGCTACATAATGAGATCCTATCTTGTAAAACAAAAACAAAGTAGTTGCTAACAGGTAGCAGTGTGCATTGTGATTTAGTTGAGCAATACTGAAATATGTCAAGAACCCAGGACTACCTCTCTGCATCTGGGACATCTCTGGAGCCTCTCTGTCGCCAGTCACTTATGTAAATGGCCCATTTGCCTTTTAAGGAATGATCCTTTCTACAGATGAGAATTTTCCAGTTTACTGAAACTGGGCTCCTTTCTGATTGTCCAAACTCACTCCCTCTTTCCCTCCTTCCTCCTCCTTCTCCTTTGGAAAAAATTAATATTTTATTTACTTAGAAATTCATACACTATACTTAGATGACATTCACCCCAGCTCCTCGTTAAACCCTCCCAGGTGCACCGCCATCTCTTTGCTCCCCCAACTTTGTGTCTTTTTTTTTTTTTTAATTTAATAACCCTCCAATTTCAGTTTCTGCTGCCAGTATACTTGTGGTGATGGGCCATCCACTGGAGCCTCTCCTCTGGAGAACTGGTTCCCTCCCTGCAGAAGCCAGCTCCTCAGTTGCAGTGGGACTCCATGCTGGAGTGCTGGCTGGCTTGATCTTGTGTGGGTCTTGTGCAGTGGTCCTGTTACTTGCAGTAGATGCGGCTTTGCTCCAGTCTAATCTCAGTTCGGGACACTCTCCAGTCATTTAGTCTTTGTGCTTTGGTGAGTTGCACATTTCTGTGTTAACCATCACCCACTGCACAAAGAAATTTCTTTGTTGAGATCTGAGAACTGCACTAATCCATCAGTAGAAAGATAAGAATTTAGACAACAGATTGATACTGTATTCATTTAACAAAATAATAGCTATAGGTCCACCCCCTGAGGCCTGTGAGCTAGGGCCCAGCCTTCGGTTCTTGGGCAGATTTGCAATACCAGGCATGCATCTCCTCCTGTGGAGCAGGCCTGATATCTAATTAGAAAGTACTTGGTAACTCCATAACATTCATGCCACTATTGTACCCATGGGCTATCTTGTGACGCTGGTCATTATTATAGTCACTTGGTTCATAGCCCAGTAAGACTCTTTCTGACCCCCTGCCAACTCCAGCAGCCTCCACAGCACTTTCTAGTACTAGCCACTAGGGAGGAAGCTTCCTGTCAGTACAAAGTGATATCTCCATGCCATATGTCTGCAGTGAGAGGGTTTACCATCAAGTTCTCGTAGACAGTCAAGAGAATGACTATAGTCTTTATTGCTTTGGGGGTCTGTGGGACACCTCTGACCATCAGTTCCAGAGGAATTAGCCCACATAACTTGGAAAAGGGATAACCAACTGTAAGAGTGTCTGAAAAACCCACTATTTTATAAACTTGCTAAATAAATGTGTGTGTGCATGTAAATGTAAAGGAATTTAATTGGGCATTGCCTCCTTTTAATTTGTGCATGTATTTATGGAGGCCAATGATCAGTTTTTATTAGGTGCCACTCATTGTGTTGTAACTTTTTTTGGTGTGTGTGTATACACCCATGCACATAGGCAGTGCTGTGGAACACATGTGAAGGTTAGAAGACAACTTGTGATGACCAGTTCCATGTGTGTTCCATGATTGACTCAGACTGTTAGGCTTGGCAGCCAGTGTCTACCTGCTGAGCCCTTGCCTGCCCTCTGCCATGTGTTACTCTATCTTCTGTCTCGGCAGCCATTGTTAGCTGACTGATGTTAGTCTTCCTTTTCCTTCTTATTCTCTCCAAGTTCATGTTAGCATCCTGAATGACGCACAAGCCCTTGGGATTTGGTTCATAAACTTTAATTTGTATAATTAAAGTATTTATAAATAGGGCTGGCGAGGCAGTTCAGTATAAAGTGCTTGCTCTAAGCCTGACACCCTGAATTCATCCCCCAGCCCACAGTGGAACAGAGAACTATTTCCCAAAAGTTGTCCTCTGACCACGTGTGTACCATGGCACGTGCATGGCCACCCACATACAATAATAATAATAATATAATAATAATAAAACAAATCTAAAATGAGTATAAATAGACTGCATTTTGAGAACCACAGATATGTTTTCTTTTGAATTTTGAATGCGGCAGAGGAGGTAATAAGCCTTGCTGGTGTGGAGGTTTGAACAGAACAGTGTAGTGAAAACATACTCTGCTCCATAAAAGGAAACGCAGCCCAGAAAGCATGCTTTTCCTCCATCTAACTGGCATGCTTGTGAACGGTAACCGGTGATGATAGAGGTGGGGCAGGATGGCACTTCCTTGACTTTCCAGGCAAACGAGCACTTCTCTGGCTTTTAGAGGATAAACGTAGCCGTACCAGTAAGCACTTTCATGCGGTTTGACCCAGTAATAAAATTGGTTAAAATTCCAACAAAAAACTAGTTATTGGAAGGTGTTTGTTCCAGTCATATTTTCTTCTCTGTTTTTACATTTTTGTTTATTTACTTATTTTTTGTGTGTGCACACGCGCATACTCATGAGTATGGGTGCCATGGTGCTTCTGTGGAGGTCAGAGGACAGTTTGTGTGTGTTAGTTCTGTCCCCTCAACATATGGATATTGGGGATCCAATTCAGGTCACTGGGCACGGTGGCAGGTGGCTCTACCCACCGAGTCATCTTGGCCAGTTTACAACCCTGTCTCTCTAATGGTGAGGTATTATGTAGCTAAACTACCTGACAGGAGCTGTTTTAGTGAGACATTTCCACCCACAATACTTTACAGCCGTTAAAAATAGCTTTGTCACAAGAAAAAAATTGAAATAAATTAGTATTTTAAGGAGGTGTATTGTCCAGCTATAATTTTTTTAAAAATGCATGTGCTCTAAGGCGTGATGGCACACACCAGTAATCCTGACTTTCAGGATCATGAATTTGAGGCCAGCTTGGGCTATAGAGCAAGACCCTGTATTTGTGTGGTGGTGATGGGGTTAGGGAGATGTCTCAGTGCATAAAGCACTTGGAGTTCAAGTATGAGAACTTGAGTTCAAATCCCCAGAACCCACATAAAAGCTGAACAAATAGCACAAACCTTTGTAATCCAGCACTCCTGTGAGGAGATGGGAGCCAGAGGTTCATGGGACAGCAGTGGAAAAACACAGAAGACCATCCCTGTCAAACAAGGTGGGAGGTGAGCAGACATTTGAGACTGTCCTCATATGCACTGTGTGTCTGCATTTGTGCATGTGCATGCACACACACACACACACACACACACACACACTAAAACCTACAAATGGGAAAAAATGTGTAGAGAAAGGATCGGAGTGGGTGAGCATTCTAGCTCCCTGAAGGTAAACACCATCTTCGCGGTTGCATTCTAGGCTTTCCCAGGACCTTACATACCAGTCAGTCATGCAAACCTGTGTTTTTAAAACTGATGATTGTTCTACGTATAGGTGAAAACATAGAATTTTGTTTTGATTTTTTGGTTTTTTGAGACAAGGTTTCTCAGTATAACAGCCCTGACTATCCTGGAACTTGATTTGTAGAACAGGCTGACCTTGAATTCACAGAGCTCCACCTGCCTGTGCCTCTCGAGTGCTGGGGTTAAAGGCGTGCGCCACCATCATCACCCAGTGAAAACATAGTTTTTAACTGTGGCTTCTGTGCTTCTGTTTTAGATAAGAATTTTGACGATGAGGATTCTGTGGATGGAAACAGGCCTTCTTCTGCCAGCTCCTCCTCATCCAAGGCTCCATCTAGTTCCCGAAGGAATGTTAGCATGGGGACCCGTCGGCTGGTGTCATCCAGTCTTGGATCTAAGTCTTCAGGTAAGACCACATCCTGTGTGACATCCTGTGTGGTGTTCTGGGATCTTTTGTCATCGTACTTGCCTACCATGCCCCTAGGCATGAACTCGCCCCGCGGGCACATTCTTGCTTGCAGTCTTTGATTGGCCTGGTACTTCTGTTGATGCCGATGAGCTGCTATGCAGTTTAGATGCCACAGCTGTGAAAGCCAGAGTAGGCTCAGTGAAAGCCTGAGGGAGGAGGCGCAGGAGTGCTGCCCTCTGGTGGTCTGTCCTGGAATGACAGTATCCTGACTGGATCCACAAGGTGCTGCTGTGCCTCTCCAGCCCAAGCATCCTGCCCTGGAAGCCGTGTTGGCCACAGGAAGAACAGCGTTACTTTGCTTCATATGTTGGTTATTCTTGCTAGTTGTTTTTACTTTTGAGTTTATTTAACATAAAATTCACATTTTAAAAGATTGATTTACTTTGGTTTTATGTGCATGAATGTTTGCTAGTATGTATGCGTGCCACTGTGTACATATCTTGTTCCTGCTGCATAAGGTCCCCTGGAACTGGAGTTACAGATGATTGTAAACCAGTCTGGGTTCTGTGCAAGAGCAGTAAATGCTCTTGACCTCTGAACCATCTCTTCAGCTATTATGAAGGGGAATATTGTCAGTGTCTCATTCACCTCCCTTGAAGCTGTATCAAGACCGTGTGTGTGTGTGTGTGTGTGTGTGTGTGTGTGTGTGTGTGTGCACGTATGTACATACACACATCTGTATGCCTGGGCATGATTGCAGAGGTCAGAGGACAACTTTGGGGCATCAGTTCTTTGCTTCTGTGATGTGGGTTTCAGGGAGCAATTCAGATCGTCAGCCTTGGTGGCAAGTTCCTCTGTCTGCTAAGCCATCTCACCTGCCCTTCTGCTTTCCCCTAATGCCCCTCCCCACCGAAGCCTCCACTGCTTTGCCCTCAGCTGTGCCCTCATCCTTTGCTTAGCACCATGACCCCGAGTGCATTCAAGTTCCTGGTCTGTGGTTCTGTGGGCTCAGAGGCCATAGCTCCTCCCACGCACACGCTCTCGCTGCTCCAGCCATGGCAAAGCACGAGGAGCATGGCTCTGCATCGCTGCTTGTCGTGCGAGCACGTTTACTGCCACCTGGCTGGCCGTTTGTTGTCGTATTTTCTCTAGTGGGTCCAGCAGAGCCCTAACAGCAAGTCACATGTCTGATAAGAGAGCAGACATGGTAATCTATGTATGTCACTGTTGGCACTTCAAGGATGAGCACAGGGAATAAAACAACAGAGTTGTCACGTATGGGGTTCACTCCCATGCCTGGCATTTCTTCCTGTGGCTACATGGAGTGGTCAGACAGTCTCAATGTGATCCAAATACGTTTTCCTCACCAGTCCTTCCGGAAGCCCCCATGGGGCCAGATTTGCCTTTGTTTTAAGTGTACAAGGATTTTTTTTTCTTCCAGTTTTTTGAGGCAGGGTTTTTCTATGTAACAGCCCTAACTATCCTGGAACTCACTCTTTAGCCCAGGCTGGCCTCAAACTCACAGAGATTCTTCTGACTGCCTTCTGATTGTTGGGATTAAAGACGTGCACCACCACCTCCCGGCTACAAGGCATTTTAACTCAGCTTTGTGGGAGAAACTTGAACTGATAGCTAAAGATGTGAGGGACCAGAGAGATGGCTCAGCGGTGAATGTACTGGCTGTTCTTGCAGAGGACCAGAGTTGGCATCTGGTACTCACATCAGGCGGTCCACAACTGCTTGTGAGCAGCTCAGAGGCTCCAGTGCCCTCTGGCCTCTGTGTGCACCCATGCACAGTGCACACAACTACACGCAAGCTCATGCACATAAGTGAAATCAATCTGTTTTATGCGTTCCAGAATTCAGTTTCGGTTGTGTATATGTGCAGTTCTGTAGTATGTTTTTTACAGTGTCAAGTTCATGCTATCTTTGTTTTAACAGCTGCAAAAGAAGGTGCTGGCGCTGTGGATGAAGAGGACTTCATTAAAGCCTTTGATGATGTGCCCGTAGTGCAGGTCAGTGTGTCTGAGCTGCTGTTGAAGGCAGAGGAGTGACTCGAGAAATGGCTCACCATTGCCCGTAACCCCAGCTCCAGCATATATAACACCCTCTTCTGTCTTCCGCAGGAGCCTATAAATATGACACACACACAACACATACACACACACACAAGAAAAATAGATAATTTGTTTTTTGGAGACCAAGTTAGAAAGTCTTTGGATTTCATTTTTCACAACCCGGTACCCATATCAGTTAGCTCTGTGTTGCAGCAGTGAAATGCCTGAGGCAGCTAGGTTTTTAAAGTGAGAAGATCCATTCAGCTCATAACTTTGGAGCCCCAAAGTACAGAGTACAGAGCAGGCTGGAGAACCACGCTCGACAGCAATGCTTCATGGCGTCGGGTAGATGGCCATGGGACAGCAGGCAACTTCTGTCAGACCAGCAGAGAGCGGCCTGGGTGGAGTCATCTCAGGCTCTCATAACAACCTTCTCAGAATTGCTCCTCCACGGATCAAAGGCCTTAAAGGGCCACCGCCTGTCAGTCACACCCCCGGCTCCTCACTGTTCCGCACAGTGGGCCTTGGGGCTCACTCATTTCCAGAGCGTGATACCACTGCAGAGTCCTTTACCTTGCGGTGTGAAACCTCAGGGACAGACTAGAGAGTGTGGGAGCCCTGTAAGTGTCCGACAAGAACAGAAGGCCTGGTCCTGTTTGATATCTCCAGAAGAACAGGAAAGATGTCTCTGTGCAGGAAGTTAGTTTATCGGGTCACAGAAAAGAGGCATTGGTCATTGCTTAGAGAGGAAAGACATATTTAAGATTTTTTTTCTTGGAAATGTGAACTAAGTTTTGACACCTAAAACACCGAAGAGTGTGGTTCGTAGAAGCCTGGTTTACACTATCTTGGATGCTCCACTTAACAAACGAAGGACTGGGGCCTGCCCTCTGCCTGTTTCTCTGTTCTGACTGGGACTGGTTCTCTGTGCGGTGCTGTGACGTCCTGCAGCACTTGCTAGGTCGCCTCCTGCCGCTCTCCTTGCCACCTGGGGGCCCTAGTGTCCGTCAGGTGGCAGGCTCCGCGGGCTTGGGTTCATCCTTGGCCTCTTGATTGAAGTCTCGCGGTAGGATTGAGGACCGGTGAGTGAGTAGATTTGAAAGTGTTAGTGAGAGTTGAAGAGCTTGCTCTGCAAGCTGGTGCAGTGGTTTCCCTTACATTGACCACAGCAGTAGCGAAGGAGGGAATCTATTTGGCTCATTCCAGATCACATCCCGTCATTGCGGGAGGTTAAGGCAGGAATTAAATGGCGAGCCTGCGCGTTGTTTACACAAGTGTACCTACCTAGGAAATTCACTCACAACCAGTGAAATCCAGCAGGAGTGATGGAGGATACTGCTTGCTGGCTTTCTCTCAGGCCCATGCTTAGCTAGCTTTCTTAGCCAGTCCAGGAGCCTCTGCTCTGCTGCTGATACAGTGGGCTGGGCCCCTCTGCATCAATCAACCATCAAGACAATTCCACACCAGCATTCCCACGGGCCAGTCTAGCTTAGGCAGTCCCTCAATTGATGCTTCCCTCTCAGATGATTGCAGGCTGGCTCAGGACAATAGTTAGAACCTGTGAGATGATGCTCCAGACACCTGATGACCTGAATCTGATTCCTGAATCTCGGGAGAAGTGGAGTGGTTGCTTGAAGTTGCAGTGCACCTCTTGTCCCCCCCCATACGTATTCAGTAATAAGTTTTTTAAAAAAATGAAAAATGATTAATGAAGGCATCTCTGTTGCCTTCTTTCTCTGTACACAAATCCCCTTGCTACATGTCTAGTAGAGATGTCCAGAATAAGGCTGTGTACGCGTGGCAGCAAGTCTAGAGGTCCCGTTGACTGTGGGTGTGGGCTCACTAAGATGAGCATGCCCAGAGAATTCCTCACCTGGAGTGAGCGTTTCTTTTATTCTGCTTCCTTGACGTCATGTATTTAAAATTCATCTTAATTCTGTACATTGTCTTTTGTCAAGTATAAATTAATTTTGCTTCCAGATTTACTCCAGCCGAGACCTCGAGGAATCGATAAACAAAATCAGAGAAATCCTGTCGGATGACAAGCATGACTGGGAACAGAGGGTCAATGCTGTAAGTGCCGCTGTCCTGGCTTCCATTACACGTTTGCGTGCTTACCTATTCCCGTGCACGTCAGTTACCATCTGTACATTTTACTTTTGTGGTAAATTACCTCATTTGGTTTTATTGTTTGCTGTGAGTTTTGGTTTTTGAGTTTATTTCAAGGTAGTCTCACTACATCTTAGTTTGCTTTCTGTTGCTGCGTAGACCCCATGATGAAGAGCAGCTTGGAAAAGAAGGATTTCTTTGTCTCATGGGTTACAGTCCACTGCTAAAGGAGGCTAGGGCAGGACTGGACGCTGGAACCTGGAGGGAGATCTGAAGCAGAGACTGGAGGGCTGCTGCTGGTCTCATGCCTTGCTCAGCCTGCTTTCTTAGAGAACCCAGGACCTCCTGCCCAGGGGCATTACCGCCTGCAGTGGACTAGGCCCTCACACATCAATCGTCAGTTAAGAAAATGTCCAAAGACATACCCACAGGCCAATCTGATGAAGGCAGTTGAGATTCCCTCTTTCCAGATGACTCTAGTTTATGTCAAGTTGACAAGAATTAATGATAAAAATTACATGCTTTGTAACCCATGCTGGCTTTGAACTTGGTATTTCCTGCTTTAGCGTGTGGAATGGTGGACTTAATGGTCATGCGGTCCCACACCCAGCCCTACTTTTGTTTTTAAAACACACCAAGTTGCTGGGAGTGGTGACACATGCCACTTGGGAGGCAGAGACAGGCATGTAGACAGACAGATCTCCATGAGTTTAAAGCCAGCCTGGTGTTCATAGAGAGTTCTAGGACAACCAGAGCTACATAGAGAGATGTGGTCTACAAAGCAAGCAAACAAATAAAAAACAAGAACAAGACAAACTCAGCAGCTTAAAGGCTCGAGAGCTGGCTTGGCTCAGCAGTTGGAGCAGAGCTGCTCGTCCTCCTGTTCTGGCCTCCATAGGCCCCTGTGTGCTTGTACTGCACATAGACTCACCAGGCGCACGCACACACCTAAAATGTTTGTAAGGAAATCATTTATTACGGGTACTGCATTTTTAAATGGAGTCTTAGTTGTGATTTAGTTTGTTCATTGTACATTAGGTAATAATTAGCTGTCCAGTTGCCTTTGCAAAGATAGTTTCTAAGGGCTAGAGATATAAATTCAGCAATTAAGCTTACAGAGGACCCTAGCTTGGTTCCCAGCATTCATATCAGTGGCTTATAACCACCTGTAACTCCAGTTCCAGGGCCTCTAACACCCTCTTGGGCCTCAGCAGACACCTGCATAAATGTGTCATATGCACACATAGACAAAACTACACACACACACACACACTACACACACAAATCTTTTCTTTAAAAAAAGATTGTTCCTATCATCAGTTAACTTTTCTTTATGTTCTATTGATGGCTTCTTTGTTATGTAGATTCAGTGTTTAGCAATGTTTCCCATACCTCTGACTTTTCTCATCCTATTAGCTAAAAAAGATGAGGTCGTTACTCTTGGCTGGGGCTGCCGAGTACGATAACTTCTTTCAACACTTGCGTCTTCTGGATGGAGCCTTCAAACTCTCTGCTAAGGACCTGCGGTCTCAGGTCGTGCGGGAAGCTTGCATCACATTGGGGTAAGGACTGCGTGCGATGCGCTCTGTTCACCCGCACTGTTCTTAGAGATAACTGCTCAGGCATGTCAGCGGGGTCACCTCTCACTGGTCTGCAAGACCCTAGCCTGTTAACACTTCTGTTAGAGTAGCTGCTTCCCAGTTATGTACAGCATTGGATTTTAAATTATACTCACTGGCATATCTCTGATGCCTCTATTGTACTACTAATAGAGAAATGAAATCCTATGGAATTCTGTATGTGAGATTGTTTCATGACTTTAGCCTGCAGGGTATATGTGTGTTAGGCCTCGTGTTTGTTTGAAGAGTGCTATAGAATGAAGTAAGTGCAGGCCTGTGGGTGCCGGTGGTGCTGGAGCACACGCCTGTCATGCAGAGCCCTGCAGTACTCGGGACTGGAAAGAGAGAGAGAGAGTGAACAACAGGACTGCAATACTGTCTAAGCCAAACTTAAGTGCTGTGTTTGCATGCTTCAGAATATTAAAGCAGTAGTCACAGCGGCTGGCAAGCATTGTAACTGTATAAAGTTTTAGGGCAGGCAGATCCTGGCATCATGTTTTATATGCAAAACAAAAATAAAATCAGACGGGGCAAGCATTGGGTTCATGCTCCATGTTTATTAGTACATCTTTGGTCTTGGCGGGGTTGATTTTGCTCTTGTAATACTTATTTGGAAATTGTTAAGAAACATTTGTTGGTTGATGGCTTCACCGGGTTCTTTGCTTGACCTTTTATCTCAAAGAGAACTGTGAAGGAGGGCTGTCAACTGTGGAGAGTCTGGACGAGACTACAGCTGCTCCTTTCTTGTTGCAGGCATCTGTCGTCAGTTCTGGGAAACAAGTTTGATCATGGAGCTGAAGCCATTATGCCAACTATCTTTAATTTAATCCCAAACAGTGCCAAAATTATGGCTACTTCTGGTGTTGTAGCTGTCAGGCTAATCATTCGGGTAAGTATGTCATGGGGCCACCTATGAAGGACTAGAGTGGTAGATCCCGCTGGCTGGTGAGATATAGCAGGCCCTCCCCCCCGAGGGTGTGTCTGTGCCATCGCCATCTGTTTGCCCCTGCAGCAGTGTCTCTCTCCCACGATGGGGGCGGCCACACTAAAGGATTTGTGTTGTGTCTTGTGGGCTGGTGCAGCCGCTGACAGGCACGCCTTTGTCAACCTGCCGTTGGTTCTAAGTACTTGACTCTCCCCTCCATCACTTCTGTTCTTCCATGTTAGCTACTTGTGATTATGGCTTCTGCTTACCTGAAACTCATTTTACTAATTGCAGCATGCAAGGAACTGGAACTCTTTCTTTGCTTGAGTTTTCTAGCACTTACTTTGATGTGAGCAGCGGCCAGGTATTGATAATCCTCATGTGTGCTTTCAGGAAGAGTAGTTTATCCTCCTCTCTGCCACCCTCGGCAGCTGCCTACCACCAAGCCCGAGAACCCAAGTTCAATCCTCAACACCCACGCGGTAGAGGGAGACCCAACTCCCACAAGTTGCCGCTGACTTCTGCACATGTGCCCTCACACACAAGCACACGCACACACTCACACACTTACGCACATACACAGAGTAAATAAATATAATTTTAAAAAACTGAAACTCTGCAGGATGTGCTCTATCCCCAAAGGATGTTACTGTTTGTGTTTGCTCTTACTTGTAATATTAAAACCAGAGCCATTGTATTTTTCCATTGAGACAGTGCCAGGATGGCGCAGCGCGATGAGGCCCTCTGAATGCACGCTGTCTCAGCTGCTAGCGTGCTCTAGGCCTCCTTCCTCAGACTGCGGTGACTCCCGACTCATTCATATGGCATCCTATCGTCTGTCCTGGCTCTGCCAGTTCTCTAATGGCTTGTTCCCTTCGCCAGCAGACATTTTAGACCCAGCTTCCACGTGCCGTGAGGTCATCTGTTGCGTCTTGTCCGGTCTGTGTTCCAGTGCTCACCTGTTTTCACCTCTCTCCGCAGCACACGCACATCCCTCGGCTAATTCCTGTCATAACAAGCAACTGTACCTCGAAGTCTGTCGCAGTTAGAAGGTACGTGTTGAAAGTTCCTCCTGATTGTCTTGTCAGTGTCTGAAAAACAAGATGATCCCCAGATCGCCTTCCATGGATAAAGTTTTGAATCTGAAGTTGTTATTATTTAAGTAACAGCTGCTTCTTGGTCCAAAATCAGTAAAATGTTCTGTGACTGGCAAGATGGTCAGTGGGTAAGGTGCCGAGTTCATCCCCAGGACTCTCAGAAGTTGTCCTCTGCTGCGCGTGCATGCGTGCGTGTGACCCTCAAAACCACCTTGTTGGCCTAGTCTTTATTTATTTCTGATTCTTCTTTACTCCTCCTTTTCCTCTTCTCCCTCTTAAACGAAATTTACTCACAGGATAGACTGACTGGCGGAAGCGGAAAGCTGTTTAGTTTCTCCAGCAGACACCTTACTAAGTTCTGTGTTTCTTGCCACGTTTCAGGCGCTGTTTTGAATTTTTAGATTTGCTTTTACAAGAATGGCAGACACATTCACTGGAAAGGTAAGCCCCTGTGATTCACAGCCGTCCTCTGGCCTGAGAGTTTTGGGAGTGAGCGCCCCAGCAAGCCGTCCACCCTGTCTTGTGTAAGGAAGGAGTGAATCACGTGTCACTAAGGGACTATTGTTTCTACTGATGTGAGCCACTTCATAGTGGAGAAGCTTTAGGGATGTCATCCTTCCAGACACTAGTATGATACAGCTTGTGTGGCTTAGTTGGTAGCGTGCTTACCTAGCATATAAGAAACCCTGAGTTCATCCCCACTCTTAAATAAACTGCCTATAATCCCGAGTGAGAGAAGATGGAGGAGGTGAGAAGGGAAGAGGGAGAGAGAGAAGCGGGGGGGGGGGGGAGCACAGGAGGGAGGGAAGGTCAAAAGTTCAAGGTCATCCTCAGAGACGTTGGGAGTTGAACACCAGCCTGGGCTAAGGGCCACGTCTTAGGGAAAATGAAACAAAACTTGTATGTCTCCAGCTGGCAGTGTGCATTACCATTATTACACAGTAGAGGGCAGTAGTGGTGCAGGTTCTGTTTGCAGCTTAGTGAGGGTTGAGCGCTGTTGCCCTCTTTTGATGCCTTGCAGAACGATTCACCCTGTTGTGGTCAGTGCTGTTTTTATGGCAGGCTGTAGCTGACTGCTTTCACATATCAGAATTTAAAAGTAGCGCTGTGTCAGGGTCCCTAAACAACCACGTGCTGTTCTTTTTTGTTTGATATTTTTAGCTCCTGTCTGTTTCAGGTACCTGTGCTCTGAGTTAGGAGACAGCAGGTGGGAGAAGTATGCCACAGTTTTGAGTGGGCATCACAGTTTGTCAGTTGGTTTCATCATAGTGATAACAGACGCAAGGAAATCCATCCCAGTGATGATAGAAATCAAAACTAAGACTCAGCCCAAACTCCTAAGCAACTAATCGGAAGCCCTGGTTTTGAGAAACTGAGGCTGCCCGCCAACTGAGAAAAGAGCAGAGGTGTGGTGTTTGGTGTCATGAAGACAGCATTTTGGGGGAAATCTTGTCTTTATTGTTTAAGGAGATTTTCCCATTCTAATGTGCACATCGCTGGCCACTTTTGTTCCAGACATCTTTGTGTCATCCTGCCCAAGATTTTTTTTCTCTTAAGAAGGCAGAGGGTAAGAGACAGGCATGCCACATTAGCTGAGGTGCTGGCCACGAATGACGGGATCGTGGATGGAGAGTGTGGAACTTCTTTGCTTCCCAAAGCTAAATACGTATGGTTCGCAAAGGAGTCGTTGTGACTTGAGAGTAGGATGGGATGCAGAGAGGGCGCTGGCGAGAGGGTGGGGCATGCTCTTAGCCTCTCAGCTGTGTTACTTGACTGACTCAGGCACGAAGCCACCAGACCCTCGTTGTTATTTTGAACTTGATTCCACAAGCCTGTGTTCACCCACTAAAGTTGTCTGCTTAGTGACTACCACTGCTCTCTTTCCGAAATATCTAGGCACATATCAGTATTAGCGGAAACGATAAAGAAAGGAATCCACGATGCCGATTCTGAAGCAAGAATAGAAGCCAGAAAGTAAGTTGCTATTGGCCCATATTGGCCCTCAGACCCAGCCCACTGTACGGTTTGCCTTACTCAATCATCTTGGTTCATCAGGCATATGTTGTTAGTTGTAACTGTTAAATGTGACTCCAGAAGTCCATGTTAGCGTGTTTCTCTAAGTTTCTGTGGATGTTTTGCTCTTTAGGTGGGTGCCTAAGTGGAACGGAATATAAATAGGGCTGAGGTTGACAGTAGGATGCTTGTTTTCAGACTTAACAGAAATGGTCAGTAGTACTCTGTGTTCATTTACTGAGCTGTTGAGAGCCGTACAACTTGGTGTTCCTGACCATGGTACCACGGGAGATGACAGCCACAGAGTATCCTCTTCTTGGGCATCCTGTTTGAAAACTTGAATTATGGGAGGGGGATTTGGGTTGACTGATGCCAGGATTGTCATGGTGATGATGTCCAGTTTTAGACTCCCAGTGGAACTGAAAATGCTTCAGTTGTGTGGTTATGGCCTTCAATCCAGTACCTTCCCAGAGGTCATAGGGCCTACTGACTTCCAAGTTAGAACCTTTAATTCCCATTTTGTAAATGAGACAACAGCTCAGAGAAGTTAAGTTACTTCTCCAGCATCAAAAGCTGGCAAGGAACAGGATGGCTCAACCTGTAAAGGCGCTTGCCCCCAAGCCTGCTGACCTGACTTCAGTCCCTAGAGCCTACATAGTGGAAGGAGAGAACTAACTCCCACAGTTGTCCTCGCGTCCCCACGTGTGCTGTGGCCTCTCCACCCCACCACCACATCAGTGAAGAAGTAAAAGGGCCTTTTAGATTTAAGCTGAACGTTGTAAAGCCAGGATTTGTCCGAGGCCTCCTTTGCTAGCTCTCTGGCCTTGTGCCCCGTTGCTCCTCCTAGCAGATCAAGGGGCCCTCGAACCCCAGAAATGCTGCGAGAGGCACGCTTGCGCTCAGCGGGGTCCTGACCAGCCCGGGGCTCGTCTTTTTCCTAGATGCTACTGGGGTTTCCACAGTCACTTCAGCCGAGAAGCAGAGCACTTGTACCACACGCTGGAGTCCTCCTACCAGAAGGCCCTGCAGTCCCACCTGAAGAACTCGGACAGCATCGTGTCTCTGCCTCAGTCAGACCGATCCTCGTCCAGCTCTCAGGAGAGTCTCAAGTAAGGGCTTTGGCTTTGCTGCCCACAGTGCAGTCTGCTCTATTAAAAGTTGGCTACACAGAAGCGCACACTGTTTTCACCTGGGTACCTGCTAAAGCGTCCCAGCTGTCAAGGTAGATTCCGGTTCTAGGTCAGATACTGCCGGGGCGGTGAGAAACGTGGCCTTGGACTCTGCCACAGACTCATTCCCCTCTGCCACAGCATAGCGAGCTATAGAGCATCGTGAACTGTACGCATAAGGAGTCCTCCAAGATGATGTGAACGTGCCCAGAGACAGGCCTGGAAAGACACGGAACTGCACCTGCATGTCTGCCCTGCACTTGACCTCTGTCCCTGTTATTGTTTTGTTCTGTTTGAAAGGTCATTCATCCCAAACGTAATGGTAGCACTCTGTCAGATGTGAGGTTGGTAAAGTAATGCCTGAAAAGTTCTGAAGACCCTGGCCGTTCTCCACGGGCACACTTTGCTGTATTGTATCACTGCAGATAAAGTACACTTTGGTAACACACATGTGTGTGCATTTTGCAGCCGGCCCCTTTCTGCCAAGAGAAGTCCCACCGGCAGCACCACATCCAGAGGTAAGAGATCAGCCACAGAACCACAGAGTCACTGAACAGCATCATTGGGAGGCCTGTTTCTGCCCTGAGGCTGTGTTCAGTGACAGGAAGCTGGGGCCTGCCCTTATCCCCACTCAGCTGGGCTCACATACCCTGCCATCTCGGGCTCCGAGGCAGGGCTCTACTACACCAGACCGGTTGTTGACATTGTTGGGATGGCTAGGCAGACAGAGGTCAGGCTCTGTGACCTCTCTTCCCCCACCCCCTGCAGCCACCAGTCCTTTTGCTCCTAGGCTCACATAAAGGGAGAGTGAGGGCAGCAGTTTGTTGGCTTAGAAGCTAGGAAAGGGTGTGTTTCCAGAGAGGGCATAGCTGGATGGGAACACCTAACTTTATTTCATATGTAGCCATAACTTCAGACCTATAGTTTTCTGTTCCTAGGACTGGAACAGTAGTAGGCACCCCACAGGCATGCTTACTGTGTCTTTCCTTGCATTGCATGAACCCGTCTTGGGGACAGTGAGGTATTTCCTTCCGCCCATGGACACCAACATGTTACAACTTAGTGTTTGTCTCTAAGCTAAGCAGAGAGCAGCATGTAACAGGATGTGTTTGAACTTCCACGTGGTCAGTCCTTCCTGACTTCTCTTCCTTTACCACTAAAGCCTCTACAGTTAGTACCAAATCTGTGTCAACGACAGGATCCCTCCAGCGATCTCGAAGCGATATTGACGTGAACGCAGCAGCCAGTGCCAAATCCAAAGTCTCCTCATCCTCGGGCTCCACCGCCTTCAGCTCTGCAGCAGCGTTGCCTCCAGGGTCCTATGCATCTTTAGGTAACCAGGCTCCCTCCTGTCCCCCTGCCCCAGTGATTACAGGCCTCTGGCTGAGAGGAGCCTCACTGTTGCAGGGTGGTCTAAAGTCTAAGCAATGGCACTAAGGGATATTTCCCAGCCACCCTCTGCCCAGTGTCCTATCCGGTGTCCCCTTTCTCTAGAACATCAGCCTGTTCTGTAAGGCATGTGTGCTTTCAGGCTGTGCGGTCCTCGTGTCCATACCCAAGCCAGCACTGGCTTTCCCCTTCCCACTGGTGGGGACAGAGCCAGATGGTCAATGAGGACTCACGTGTCCTGTAGTTGAGTATCTCTTAGTGGGGGAGGGGTAACAGGGTTCTGAAGGAATGTAATGAACCTTTAGCTAACTTAAGCACAGTTGTGCAAGTGTTCCGACTACATGTTTCCTGAGGCGAGTACACCCATACTCCAGTGATGCTCCAAAGGATTGTTTCTGATTATTTCCCAAATTTCTGGTATCTAACATAATGGTAGATGCTTTCTTCCCTGCCAGCTGACAATGAACACCCTCTCTGTTCTGGGCTGGTGGTGTTTTCATTATATTTTTGTAAATGCCAAGATGGTCATTCAGTTCCCAAACCTGAGGACTTAGCTTAAGTTTAACACCAGAACCAAGTTGCTCACGTGGCCCATTAGGAATTTCAAGGTCACTGCCAGTTCTAAAGTGCTTAAGACTGGAAGCATGGGGACAGAACGGTAGCCAAAGAAGGTGCCCCTTGTTCTCTCTCTGTCCCAGGGAGCAGGCTGTGGAAGCTTTGAGTCTGTTTCTGTGCCAATGACCTCATGGTGATGGTAGCCATCTGGCTCGGGCACATGTTGAGGGTGGGTAGAATTGCCTGAAGATCCTTTGTAAATGATTGCCCTTCAAGGCAGAAGAAAGGAGAATTGAAATAAGAACCCTACCAACCCGAGACAGTGTATGTCCTGGAACCGTGTGTCCAGGCACATTCTCTTGAAAAGAGACCCAGGATGGGCAATCTTCTTCCCCATAGTAACTACTACACCAATAATGTATACATATTAAGGTATTGTTTTGTAATACTGGGTGAAGGGAGAAGCCAGGGCTGTTCCCTCCCATGGTGAATGAGCTGTAATCTAGGTATTACCAGGGTGTTAATACTTTTGATTTACTTTTACTTTTGTTTCTGTTTTTGTTTTTGAGACAGGGCCCTACTGTATCGCCCCAGCTAGCCTGGAACTCACTGTGTAGACCAGGCTGGCATCCAGCTCACAGAGATCATCTTGCCTCTGCCTCCCACAGTAATGGTCCCACCGTTAGTATTTTTAGTTAGCATTTGCTTGACTGAGTTCATGCCAACCTTTAGTGGCATATCCGGATCACTGCTGACTTGTACACATCTGGGGTATTTGGTTGAAGCCTGGTTAGATTTCCTCAGTGCTGCTGGAATCTCAGAGTTGGGTCTGGTGACAGACAACTGAGCCTTCAGCAGCCCTGAGGACATTCTCAGTGCAGGGCGTCCTCTCCAGGCAAGACTGCAGCTTCACTGTTCGCCCCTTTCCCCTTAAGAATTGCACCTCCAGTGTCCTTGATTTTGCCCCTCCTCCACCGGCTACTTGACCCCAAAGTGAAGTAGTACACAGTAGAGACTGTGCCCAGGCCCCACGTAGGTTTGACTGCAGCACTTGACTGGTCACAGTGGAGCATTAAAGCTGATAACCGTTTTCCAAACTTCTAGAGTCCAGACACGTGAGGGAAGACTTGGAGTACGTAGGCCTGGATGCAGGTACTGAAGGGACAGCTGTGCTGGGCGTGTAGTCGGGATAGGCCTTGCTACAGCCTCTCAGCTTCTCACTCGACTCTGCTCTGGGGTGACCGTAGAACCTCAGCTAGTCTCTGCTCTACGCCCTTGTGCTAGAACTTTCAGGGAGTGGGAACTTGCGAGGATGGTGCAGTTGACAGAACGGAGGTCCCGAGTTAGCTTGCCGACTGTGGCACAACTCTGGGCCACTGTTCTGTTTTGCTTTCCAAAGGCAAATTGTGTTACTGCAGACTGAGCTAACTCCTGGTGGTGAGGGCACACTGCGCTGGCTTCCAGCTCTGCTCTGCCTTTGAATGTGTTTCCCTTTTGGCTTTGTTTTAAAGTGTACATTTTGCTTTTTTAGTAGCTAATAACATTCTGCTTTTTAATTTCCTGAATGTTACTAACTGTTCCCTGTTGTCCCCTCCCTTGTTTTTTAATTGGCTTAAAGACGGTACTACCAGTAAAGCGGAGGGTAAGCGGTTTGTTTCTGTGATTGAGGTGTGTGTCTCTCTGGTCCTTTGTTCCCACCGAGTGCTTCCTGGTGCCCACGTGTCCTCACTGAGGTCCCTGCATGATGTGTTGCACGATGTCCCCACCCTCTTCTTCATTCTGTCTCCAGCGGCTCCTAGCCCTCCCTCCACCTCAGTTCTTTCCCTTTCTTGTTTAATCTCTGTTCTGATGAACCGGGGCACTGAAGTGCGCTGGAGGCGGCGATTGTGCCGCGCCCACACTGGGGAGGATATCGGACGCCACCTTGTGTGCCGCTGCCCTGGGGTTTATTGCTCATGAAGCCTCGACCATGAGCTCCACTTTCTTCTCTGTGCTTTCTGGGCCTCTCGGGTTCATCTTTCCAGTTTTGAAAGTAATGTCTGGGCCAAGTACTTGGGTTCAATGCTGGTGAAATTTTTCTACTAAGCTATAAAGACATTTTTTTAATGGTGTGTTTTCTCCTATGAAGAACACTGCTGAATTATGGGATATTGTTTTTATTTGTGAAAATGTCATGTGCCCCTGTTTGTTCATCTGTGCACACCGATCCTTTTGCCAGTCACATGATAAGAGCCTTCTCTGCCAAGCTCTGCAGTCCACACCACGGAGAGAAACAGGCATGTCCACTTCCCCATGACCCACATTTTAGGCCAAGAAGCTCTTGCTGAGTTCTTGCCTTGTTCTTTGTCCTTGAGACCCAGCCGGTGCACTGCGCTAACAGTGCCTTACATTATCGGCAGGTAGACCCTGTACCTTTCCCAGGGTTTCTGGGGAGAAAGCAGGATACTACTTCCACAGTTGCGTGTGAAGTGCTGCCTGTCGGAGGAAGTGCTCAGCCCCAGACCTCCAGACACTGCCTGCAGCAGTGGGGAGCAGTCTCTTCAGTTGTAGTTGTGAGGTGGCTCCCATGTAAAGGAGCCTAGGTTTGAGCAGGGCAACTCTCTGTAGTTTGTAAAGTTTCCTTATTAATGTGTGTATAGTGTGTGTGTGAGTGCAGGTTTGTGTGCTGTGGGGCAGGTGGTGGGCAGTTCACAAGGGAGTCAGTTCTGTCCTTCCATCATGTGGAATCTCTGGGGCCTGAGCTCAGGTTGGCACATTTATACGGCAAGTGCTTAACCACTGAGCTCTCTCCCCAGCCCAGCAGAGTATTCTTATGTATACTTTCATTTTGTTTGGAGATAGGGTCTCATGTCGCCCACACAGGCCTCAAACTCTCTATCTAGCCAAAGCTGACCTGATGGTCTGATCCTCCTCCCAAGCGAGGCTGGGGTTTCGGTTGTGCACCACTGTGTCCGCATTCATCAGTGCTGGAAATCAAGGCAGGCTTTTGAGCGTGCTGAGCCAGTATTTTGCCAGCTGAGCTACATTCTCAGTTTTACTGTTCCTGAGGCCGTAGTCTAGGTTCTCAGGAGTCAAAAAGGAAAATAGAGAAATAGGCTTAAAATGGTTTTGAGTTACACTTATTTATTGGTACGTTTGCACACCCTAGTGTATGTGTGAGCACAGAAGCAGCTACTTTACCGCTGAGCTAGGTTTCAGCTGTGAGCCTTTAAATATAGTAAATATTTTACAATCTCTAATGCCCGAGACAGAAAAAAAAGCCAAACTGGGTATGGTGGCACAATCCTATATTTAGTACTTGAGAGGCTGAGCAAAGAGGATTGTAGCAAGTTCAAGTCCAACCCATGCTACAGAGAGAGAAACCTGTGTCAAAACAACTACCAAGAAAGTCAGATTAATAAGTGTGGTGGCCAAAGGACATATGAGGGCACGGAGGGATAGCTCAGTGTGGACAAAGCGGTTACTGCGCAGGTGTGAGGACCAGAGTTAAGATCCTCAGCACACATACACAAGTCAGCCGGACCCGGCCAGCTGTCTGCCTGCAATCCCAGCTCTTGGGAGACAGATGGGCTGCCTAGATCTAGTTGGCAGCTACACTAGCGGAATCAGCAAGCTCTGGCTTCAGTTGAGAGACCTTGTCTCAATTGAGGAAGACACTGTGTCAACTCAGACTTCCACCTGCTTGTGCACACACACTCACATGCACCTGACACACACACACACACACACACACACACACACACACACACGGTCAGGTTAGCTTAACTTTTGCTGAATTAAGATTGTACTAAAAAATTACTTAGGAAAAAGAGCTTAAATTTTAGTTTGGTTTGATGGGGAAAGAAGCCCACTTGTATACAAATGAGGCAAATGGACTTGTTTAGTTTTCTGTAAAGAATGAAACCATGCCTGATAACTGCAGTGCAGAACAGAGACCACTGTCAGCACTTTTCTGAGCTGATTGATCGTTGCATAGGTCACCACTTACCACTGGACAAGATGGCACAAGTATGTCTGGAGCCATTGTAGAAATGATCACAAATTCTCTCCCAACTCCAGGTGGAGATTCATTGGGCAAGACTTTAGCTGACTCAGTCAGCAAGTTCAGCAGTCATCTTTAGAATCAGACACAGAAGCTTTGGGCTGAATTGACTGTTGAGAACCATGCCTGTAAGGTCGACTTAGAACACAACTTTGGGCTTCCATGTTTTAGGGTCTTTTCCAGAAGAATGAAAACACGATTGAATGAGAATTCTTAGCAGTGTTAAAATGCTGTGAAATTGGAATGTTCTTCCTTGGCTCCATGGAAGCTGAAGACTTAACTCTTCCTAAATTCCTTGCTTTTCCCAGTGTCTGCTCTTCTCTCTATATATATAGCTGGTGCATTCTTGGCTCCTCCAACTCTACGATTTTTTCTTCATTCTTATGCAGTTATTTCATTTTATTATTCTAGGCTGGCTCTGCCCCCTTCCACACTTGTTTTGTCTCTGTCACTCGTGGTACACAATTGAAGTGTGTTCTCGTGGTTCTCTGTCACTTACTTGTGGTACACAATCGAAGTATTTTCTCATGGTTTTCTGTCATTTACTCATAGTACACAATTGTAGTATTTTCTTGTGGTTTGCTGTGTTTGTGCAGTAGCTGTGATTCTCTTGAAGACCACAAAATATTTAACACATCCAGGCACTTGTAATTGCCAACTAATTAGAGTAGAAACCAGTTCCTCTACCTGTGAAGGAGGCACCCATATCTGAACACAGCACAACAGAGACCCTTCAAACTATGTAGCTACTTCCCAAAAAAGTAAAAAGTTCAAAAACAACAAGAGGCCTTTTCAGGCTGCCCCTACAGCATAGCAGTGGGAGGCCAAAGCACACAGAAAACCAGACCTTGAATTCACGCAAGATGCAAGACATTGGCCCGAAGCCAACCAGCATTGACAATGGCCATGAGAAGGTCGAGGCAGAAAGACTCTCTTCAGATCATCTTGCTGTCTTCAGTGTCTTTTCTGATTGATTGTCACCAAGCTCTGTACATACAGTAGGCGGAAGGAAGGTCCCATCTCTGTTGTGGGGTTGGAGACACCCCTTGCTGTAGAACTAGGTGATTTGCGTTTGCAGTTCCTATGAGGACTCTTGAATTTTCACAGGAGGAGCCGCTCTTGGCTCTGTCCACTGGGCTTTCCATGTATTCTGTCAGCCAGGTAGGAGACTACAGGCCGAAGGCGCTGCGCGGATAAGCACTCTAGGTCATTAGAGCCAGTGGTGGGATATGAAATACCTACTCTAGCTGTTCAAAAGAAATACGAAATTTGCATCTTTCTATTGAGTGAAAAACATAGAATTTAGTGGCCAAAATGATCCTTGTGGTTGAGAACACCCTGCCAATCCAGAGTAAGCAATGCCATCACCCACTTCAGACACCATGAATACAGGGTCCAGGTGGAATTAGCAAAACCCTGGGGCCTGTGGGCATTCACCGGCATGAATCTGCCGTACAGACAGGATTCATATGCCTTCCATCACTGGTCAGCAAAAGGCAACTTTACTGGAAAAAGACGAGGGCATTTTGTGGGCATGTGTGTCAGGGGGAGGTGACTGAACCCCCACACCTTGCCTGTATAGTCTGTCAATAAGTTGTACCCCTAAATCCAGCATTTTGAAAAAAAATCTCTTTTGAGTCAATAGTACTTCATTGCTTCTATTTTGCTTTGTGTTACATGAATAAGGCAACACAATGAAGGCAGATAGGTAAAAATGTGTAATTGAAAAAAATTGATAGCTGCCTTATTTTGTAACCCCAGCTCTACATACAAATTAATCCATCTAGCAGAAGTCCTAAACTTAAAGTCATAATGTCATGATTAAAAGCCATGTGTGGTAGCATATGACTGTAAATCCCAGGACTCAGGAGTTTGAGGCAGGAGAATTGCCGTGAGTTTGAGGTCAGTCTGGACTATATAACAAATACCAGGTCAACTTGGACTATCTAACAAGGCCCTGTCTCGAGAAACAGTATGTGTGTGTGTGTGCATGTGTGTTTGTGTATGTACATATACATATATGTGAATGACACATTATATGTTAACAAAATAAAATCTAAAAGTACCTTTTGTAATTAAAGTATCTTTGCCTGAGTATGAAACTGAAGCAGAACTTTGAGAAAGGGAGACATTGTAGATTAGTAAGAAAAGAGTTGTGAAGACTTATTTGAGAATTAGTCATCTGGAAAAGGTAAACTCTCTCCTTGGTCCATATGGAAAATCCATTACACGAGTGTACTCACAAATAAGTTGTTGAGTAAAGCAATGTATTTTAAAATCCCACTATAATTTAATGTTACATATGCAAAACTGGCATATTTTTTCTTGGTCATGCAAGTATATTTATCTTAAAAGAAAGAAAGAAAGAAATCTGAGATTCCTGAAAACTGGCCTTAGGGTCATATTACCAATGCCGGGGAGTGAGAATCCTCAAGAGGGATTTAATTCCTCCAGCTTTGTGGGTGTAGGTATTCATTTTTTTTAAAAAAATTATATATGTGCCCTGAGTATTCTGCTTGTAATAACTTTAAAATAGATTGTTTTTCCATATTCATTTTGCCTGATCACCTTGGTTTTGCTGGGTGCCTACAGAAAGCCGAGGTTCTTGGGGGCTCGACAGCTGGCCCTCGGACAGACACCTATGCCAGGCTGGTGGCACTGCGTGTGCTTCTCCCCTGGTTGCCCTTTCTTGTCTATACATTGCTGTGTACTTGACAGAGATAGTCACAGTTCTCAGTAGAATAAATAATGCAGCCTTTTAGTAAACATCCAGTAGTAAATGTAGTCCCGACTGGCCTCAGATTTACTGTGTGACCAAGAGTGGCCTGAACTCCTCCTTATCCTCCTGTCTCACCTCCCAGGTGCTGGAATCACAGGTGTGTGCCACCATACCCAGCTTTTATGTCTTAAAACTTTACCGAAGGTCACTGGCTCTCGTCTCCTTTCCACCTCAATGCTGCACTTTCTTAAACCTTCTTCAAACCTCAGGACTTGTTTCTGCATTCTTCCTCTGATGCTGGGGAGGTGCCAGTCACATCCAGTTCTAGCTGGCTTATGGAGAAAGGCATTTCGTGCTTCCTTGAGTGTAGAGAAGCCTCGTGGAGAATTCAAAACCACATTCATCCCTGCTTATCCTACTGGTGTCTAACTCCCATGGGGGCCTGGCTGACAGAAGCCCCTGCTTCCTGCGTGGTCAGCCACGTCAGTGCCCTGTGTTCGTGGCGTGGGTTCTTACAGAGATCACACTAGCTGAAGATGTTGTGAAAACACTGTTTTTCCTATCCTCCAGGTCGGATCCGTACCAGACGGCAAAGCTCCGGGAGTGCCACCAATGTCGCCTCCACACCCTCGGATACTCGGGGCCGCAGTCGTGCCAAAGTGGTTTCACAGTCTCAGCGTAAGCAGTGTGTTTGATGCTTTGGTCACTTTAGCTTCCCCTAGTAGCACAGCCCATAGCTGCACAGACTTGCAGCGGCTCTGAGACGCTGTGTGACCACATTGCTAGGCAGGCTTACAGAGTGAGCATTCCAGGCATGCTTTGGTCTCCTTCTCAAGGGCTTCCTATTTCATGGGCTAGTGGATGACTCTGTCTCCAGTGCTTGAGGACCTGAGTTTGGATTTCCAGTCCTCACATAAACATCTGGCTGTGCTGTCACACACCTGTAATCCCAGCACTGGGGAGATGGAGACAGCTGGGTCCCTGGGGCTTGCTGGTCAACCAGTCTGGTCTAATTGGTGAGCCTCAGATCCCAGTGAGAGACCCTGTCTGAAAACAAAAGGTAGTGGCTGAAGAAGGCATCCAGCATCCTTTTCTGGCCTCCACACACTTGCATATGCAGGAACATATAACACACGTACGCGCGAACGCGCGCGCGCACACACACACACACACACACACACACATTGATAGCATTAGAAATTAAAATAGATTTTACTCCCTGAAATCTCTCAAGTCAAAATTTGCCTGTTATGAATTCATTTTGCAATATGATTTTCTGTGGGGAATGGGGGTTGAGGGAAATATTACGTTTCTTTTTTGTTAGCTCTTGGCTGTGTCCTCTACCAGGTTCCTCACCCCAATTGCATTAGTGCTGTGTCTCTCTGGTTTTAGAAATCCAAATGTCACCTGATTTTAGAAGGAGGTTGAAAATTGCTTCTCTAGGGGATTTAGGAGAGATGAAGATGCTTAAGTCTTAAAGCTCAGGAATATACTGACCTGGACCTTGAGACTACTCAGGTCCACTTCAGCCAGATTGTACTCACAGGAACAGTAGCCACTAAATAGTAGCACATAATTGAACCTACACCCCAGACTTAAACATACAGATTCATTATTTTAATAACGATTTGAATGAGGTAAATATATTTATATTGTAAACGTGGGCATGCAACATTTATAGTCCTGGTTTGATAATGAAGTAGGTTTGTTAATTCTAGATTTAAGACCCTTAACGATTGAAATACTTTACATATTTGAAGATAAGGAATGTCATAGCCAGTTAAGAGTGAAAACAGTTCATGGCAGTGTTCTTCCGGCCACTGGCATCTTGTTAAAGATGGAGGTGGGCACAGGTAACCAGGTTCTGCTTGTATCCCTTGCTGAAAGCTGAGGAGGTGTGCTCTGGGAGATCTCTTAAGCTGGACATGTTATAGATGGGTGTTTCATGAACAGACCTGGGGCAGATGCTAAAACTGTGTGCTGTGTAAAACAAAGCGCCCTTGGAACAGTGGCGGTTTTGCACTGTGCTTGGGAACAAACCGTTCGTGCTGTGTCGCATGCTGACTTTCTGTATTGTGTTATTGTCTTTTAATCCACTTTTTGCCTGTCCCTTGGTCTGCTCTCCTAACGAAGGATCCAGATCTGCTAACCCCGCTGGTGGTAAGCTACTCTCTTCTTGCCCTTCTGTTGTCGTCACTGGCACTCTCCCTCAGCCGTGCTCTTTGTGCAATATTAATTTCTCTGTTTATGCTTAATCTCTCTGCATTTTTATATATGTCTAAATACTAGAGTTTGAAATGCATTTCTTTTTGCCTTTGACATAGCTGAATAGTTCATCTTATGTTCAAGTCTTGGGGTAGTTCTTCATAATATGTGCGTCACTGACTTTTACAATGGTTTTCCTTCCAAATTGTATATAATTTAGTCATTAGTAGGTGTTAATTTTCCTGTGTAGCCAACCAAGTGACTTATTTGAATGATGATATTCTGTAAGAAACAGTAATTTGTGGGTAAGTATTGTTTCAAAAGGGTTTTGTTTGCTTTAATTTTTTTCCTGAAGGTAATTCTACTCTGCCTCATGATACTTTAGATTTCATGTTTTAAAATTTTACTGCCTTCTCTACTTAGGGAGAGATCTGTTAAGTGGCAATCATTTTGTGTATATTAATATTTGGAATGTTGATCTTTTCTATGAGAGTTCTGTCCCATATTAAATGCTTATAAGCATATCTGGATATGTAGCTATTAATAAAGATTAGCAGTTCCATTGTTTATTTCTGATTTCTGGCTTTTACTGCATATTTCTCAGACATTGTGGCCCATGTAGTTTCCTCTTTTTCATGTTTTCTGAGATTTGTTTTGAGGTTTAGTATACAGCTAGTATTTATAAAATATGGGTGTTAAACTGAAGAGAAGTGTTTGGGATATCCACATATGTAAAGGGAGTCTGCCTGTGAAATCACACACTGTGAACTATTAGGCCGTTGAGTGTAGTTCCACAGACTGTTGGCCACAGCCTTACCAGGGAATACAGGTGATCCGCTGCTAACAGAGGCGTTTTGTTGTATGTCCTGGTTATATGCCTCCTATACGTGTTTGCTGTCAACCACTCTGCACACAAAAGTTTGATTCCTGGCCCCACCTATTTCTCTGAGACTTATTAGGCTTTCTATAGGTTCTTTTGTGTGTGTGGGGGGGTCTTTTAATAATTAGGGCTTTCCCTATATTCTTTTTCTTGGTGAGTATCTCAAAGCTATGTTGTTTGGAGTTTGTTTTTATCTTCGTGGTCAGTTATCCTTTTACCGGTGTTTGTGCTTTTTGTTTTGTTGCTTGCTTTTAAGTGTGTTATTTGATTCTTATTAGCAGTGTATAGCTTGAGGCTTGGGGGTGTAACTCAGTAATAGAGCACTTGGCTAGCACAGCAAGACTCAATCTCCAGTGTGGAAAAAATAAGTAGATTGAAAACTTGCTGTTTTTAATAAATGAGCGGTGTCCAGCCACATTCCTTACAGCACTGATGTTTATTTGTACCATCTTACGCTATGATTTTTAAAAACCATTTCTAGTCATTTTAAGCCCACATCTTTCTTCCATTTGTTAGATTAATTAAGTTTTCTCAACCATTTTCCCTAAGTTAATGTCTTTTTTTTTTTTTTTTTTTTTTTTGGTTTTTCGAGACAGGGTTTCTCTGTGGTTTTGGAGCCTGTCCTGGAACTAGCTCTTGTAGACCAGGCTGGTCTCGAACTCACAGAGATCCACCTGCCTCTGCTTCCCGAGTGCTGGGATTAAAGGCATGCGCCACCACCGCCCGGCTCCTAAGTTAATGTCTTAAAAGTCTGTTTCTCCAGTGATTATACTTAATTTTTAGGCAGTCAGCTCTTGGGGTGAGTGTGGTTAGTGGGAGAGCCTTGCGGATGTCTCTGGCCATGTGTAGAGCTCTGCTTTGTGATCCTGTCTTCATCAACTTCTTAGAGAGTTGCTCGTGGGTCTTCTAAGCTATGTCTGACAGTGATCCTACGTCCTCTATTTAAAAAGCAGTATTACTGACCAAAATGCTGTTTTGTATGTTGCTTTCTCAATGTCTCTTGCAGATCCATATGTGAAAGCTTGTGTCTTTAGTTTCTGACTTGTCGCCTGATTTAGATTCGTCTCACCATCATTCTGTTTCATTTCTAGCTGGCAGCCGGTCAAGTTCCCCAGGGAAGCTGTTGGGAAGCGGCTATGGTGGACTTGCTGGGGGTTCCTCAAGAGGCCCACCTGTAACACTGTCTTCAGAAAAACGAAGCAAGATCCCCAGGAGTCAGGGATGTAGCCGAGAAACAAGTCCTAACCGGATTGGATTAGGTAAGGATTCTCCAAGACTTGAAACCTCATTCCAGCATGGCTGTCATGTGGTTATGACCTAATCACTGTTTGATACAGAATGCAGAGCTCTGTCTTTGAACTCAAGGAGCCACCTCAGCTGTACTCAAAAGCGGGCATTTGCTTTGTGTGCCATGCTATTCAGATTACACTGAGATTTCACCAGACCCCAAAATGTGTGGGGTGTATGCCTCCTGCAGTTGGGGTGGGACTCCATCGTCTGCAAAGGACGGGAGCTGGGGCGACTTCTTTCTCGTTCAGAAGCTCTGCCACTCTTCACTGTCCTCTCTCTGAATTCATTCTCCTCACGGCATACATTAATTCTCAAAAGCATTTCAAGGCCCTTATTTTTATTTTTATCTCTATCCTAATTGGTTAAACTTACAGCAAAAGAATATGTATATTTACTTTGGACATAATTTTGTGGAAACATGGAAGCTAGAGATTGGTGAACTCTGAAAAGCACTCACTTGAGTGTTGCTTAGTTCCCTTGTAACACAGCTGATTCTCGGTGTCTCTAGACCGATACACTCTAACTCACACATTCCTTGTTAATGTAAAAAATCTTTCAAGATATAATACCAAAAAGTTATCTATTGACACACCTACTTTTATTGTATATCTATCTGCTTCCTTATGTACAAATTTATTGCTGTTGAATGAGAGGATTGTAGGTTTAACTTTTCTTGTTGGCTCAATATTGATTTTTCTTAATTTTTTTTTTTTACTGGAATGTATACCAGGCTCTTTTTTAGACCCAAGAATTAGAAGATAAATGAATATATTTTCCTCATTTCCAAACCCTTCTAATCCCTTGAAAAGGGTGGAGGTGAAAAACCGTATGGGATGCGGTAACAGGTGCTCAGGGACCAACAGAAAGGAGGGTCTTCCCTTTGTCTGCGAGACCCTCGAGATTGTCTAACAACAGTGTCCTGGAATAAATAGGTCCTGCTTTGAAGTCCAAGGAAAAGACACTTTCAGGAGGAGAGCAGCAAATGCAGAAGCAGCTAGTCAAGAAGGACTCGTCAGCCATGGAGGTGGCTGGCAGTTAAGGGCAGCGACTGTTAGGGCTCAGCCAGGAGCAGGTGTTAAGACGTGGGTAAGATTTGATTTGAATCAGATTTCCAGGATGAATGTCTGAATTGTCTCACCCGCTACGAAACCCATCTGCATCTGGCTCAGGCCTCCGTTTGGAATACATTTTATTTTGAATCTAGGCGTGACTCTTGGGTGTCTGTTCCATCACTGACTGCTGATGTCTCTGTAAGATGTATATAAGCGACGCAGTCTGCTGTGATGTCTCTAACAGGCTCTTCTGTTGGGACGTTGACGTGTTCTTTGGAGCACTGCTTGTTTCCGGTGCTTTTCTTGCCATGACAGAACACCTGACTGGCAGCCTACGGGAGGAAGAGCTCTTTTCGGGTCACAGTTCTAGGGTCCAGCCCTTCTTGTTGGGGAAGGCTTGTGGCAGGAGTGGGAGGCAGCTGGTCATGTGGCATCCACAGTGAGAACCAAAGACAAGGATGATGATTCTGAGGATCCCAGCCCATGGGATGGGTCTCTCCGTCTCACTCCACACTGTCTAGAAACGCCCTTACAGACATGCCCAGCGATGTGTCTTCTTGGTGGCAGGTCCTATCCAGCTGACAGTGAGTTAGCCACCAGACAGCCTCTTAACACTCTTGACATTAGGGAATAACTCAGTTTTAGTAATCTAGTATAACTCCAGGACCTGCTATTCCAGTCTTTACTCCAGTGGTCCGTTGTGTATGGTACAAGAGCTTGGAAGGCCAGTGTCACGAAACATCAGTAAAGGAGTTGGTTTCCTTCCAAAGAGCTCATATTTGAGGTGATATTTTTTTTTTTTTGAGATAGGGTCTTATATAGCCCACGCTAGCCTAGACAGAACTCAGAGACCTGCCTACCTCTGTCTCCCAGGTGCTGGGATTGTGTCACCATGTCTGTCTAAAGAATTATTGGTGCTCATGAAGGGAGTTACTAGTATTTTAAGGTCATGCATGAAGTTCTGATCAAAGGTGTTTTATTTCTGCACATTATGAGAATACACACATAATACACATGAACAAATGTACCTCTATACTTACCGTTTATAAGGTAGTAGGTGCCTAGTATTTTTCAGTAATGGATTGCTTGTGATCATTGAGTTTATACTAGAATATATTTGTACGTCTAACCATTTGGTTTATGGCTTAACAGTTTTAAATACAAATATTCAGAAGAAGGGTAACATGTTTATAGAATGTTTCCTTAAAATCCTTAAGCAGTTTTAATGACTGCTAGCCTAGTTTAAGGCTTAGAATTTACGTTAAAAACTAAAATAAGGCCAGAGAGATGGTTCTGTAGGTAAAGCTGCTAGCTTCACAAGTCCAATGACACAAGGTGGATGACTGGAGCTCACTGAAAAAGCCAGATGTGGTAGCGCACCTTTGTGATCCTACCACTCCTGCTGCAAGGTGCGCATTCCAAAGGGGAGCCTGCCTGCAAGCTCCCAGGGGCATGACTGGGGACAGCGTGGGGACGGACCTCCGCACATGTCTGCACATAGGTCAGGGTGGCCTAGCTGCAGGAGCTGGGATTTCAGGTGCCATCTGCCACACTCAGCTGCCATTTAAAACTCACTAAGTAGAAAGCCTGCGACTGGACAGTCCAGAAGCAGCCCTGCTTGCTCTTGCACACAGTGCCCCCGCACCTCTCTCCCTCTCCAGAGACTGACTGACTCTCTTTCTCCTCTCTCACTCTCTTGCTCTCTTTCTCTTTCCCTCCCCCCATCCCCCCATAAGCTACCCAAACAATCAGGAAAGCACATTCATGAACTGTCTCACTTTGGTGTCTCAAAGATTTGCAGACGTGAAGCCACGCAAATACCCAGCGTCACTAGCGATTGTTAGCAGTTGCTGCCAGTTCGCTTCTCCTATTCATCCATCAAAAAGACTAGAAAATCTGGTTTTTAACAGTTTTGCAACCTACACTGCATGGTATATATTTTAAATGTCTTATGACTTTCTGGTTCAAAAAGATTTTTGGAAGATTGAAGTTAACTAAATTATTTAACTATAAAAGTAGATTTGCTGGGACATGAAAACATCTAAAGAAGCATTTTATGCCTTTAGCTTCTAGGCGTTTTCATTAATTCTGTTGCACTTTTGCCTTGCTGTGCAGTCTGATTGGGTCATTCCCTAAAAGGCAAAAGTAGGGTTGGAGAGATGGCTCATCAGTTAAGAGCATAAACTCTTGCAGAAGACTTCAGTTGCCTGGACCCACCTCCAACTCCAGCCCAAGTGGGTCTGATGCCCTCTTCTGGCCCCTGTAGGCATTGCACTCATGTGGACTGCACTACTGTAGGCATATACAAATACATGTTAAGTAAAAATGAAAATCCTGTTTTTAAGACAAAAGTAAGGATTACCTTTAAACACTATGATGTAGGGTAGAGTCTCTCAAGAAATGCAAACCAAACCAGTGGTTTTTGAATACCTGGCAGCTTTTCCTGTAGACAAAGGTCCAGAGCTTTCTAGTGTGAGTGCCGTTGGGAGACCAAGTGTGTCCTGCCTGCTCCTCTTGCTCCTCCTCCATGCCCTCCACTCACCTAGGGTGTTTGTTGGGCACTTCCTAACAAGACAAGCTGGTTTTATACTCTAGGTAGTTAAGTGAATGGGTAGATGGATGGAGATTATATGAATGAATTTTGACTGCTGATTCTATAAAAATAATTTTCTGTGCTTATTCTAGATCTTTCTGTAGGTTAATCTTTGTGTCTGTTTTTTTCCATGGGTTAAATTACCTAACATTTGAAATACCACTCTTAACCACAAAATGTATTTGAATGAGATTTGGGGCAATTGTGGACAGATTTCTGACAAAACATTGGACAGAATTCTTTTTTCTATGTGTCACATTGTAGAGGAGCCCATGAGCATGGAGGGTGAGTGCATTCTTGGGGAAATACTCGGGGGAGGCCTATCAAGAAGTTTGTGTGGGCATTATTTTATATCGCAGCTGTTTGTTCTTATTAGTGGTCTTTATTGTCTTCATGAAGCGGGCCTACTCCAGAGAGAACATATATTTCCATTTCTTTAGCATCTCTGTGAACTTGAAAAGGCATGGGTTCTGGATAAAGTTACATAGCAGTCAGCTGAGCATGCACTTCTGTGAAAAGCCATGAGAACGTTTGTTTTAGCTGTCTGCTTTGGAAAAGACAGTAGAAAAGTTCAGGATTTCCAGGAATGATGTTTGGCTACATTTCTGATGTGTGTATGTGTGCATTGTCCCCATGTCAATGAGATGATAATCTTTTCATTGCTTACTTTCTGTGGGAGGATGAGAACCGGGGAGATCAAGTAGCTGGACTAGTAGTGCAGCTGGGAGCTGTATGGGTCACTTTGTGGCTCAGGTACAGCAGTCTCTAAAGATAAGCAGCCCTGCTGTGTCCACTTGAGGAAGCTCCCGTGTGTCGGTGGGGTCAGCGTGGCGCCTGTTACTCGTGCTGTCCTCATGTGGCCTACTTACAGTGTCACCAGGAATTGCTGATTAACCAGTCCCCAGTGCTGTGAGTGCAAACTTCAGTGTTCCCTGTCATTCTGTCCAAACTAAGAAACTTCTAGTGAGGCCCTTGAGGTCTATCATTCAGATTATATTCCTGCCTCACCCTTCCCTTCCTACAGATTGACAGTGTCTGGACATCACTTACAAGCTCTTGGGGTCGGGTTCCACGTCAGCACAGAGCTGTTGAGCACACTCTAAGCTGGCTTCACTTCTCACACTTTCTTCTTTATTGGAGAGTTTTATGATTCTGGTTATAGTTTAGCTGTAAATCTTTGCTCTGAAATATTAGGCTGTGTTCATGGTGACATAGACGATATGCTTGTTTTTACATCAGAGAATCGACGACTCAAGAGTCACTCCCACCCGGTCTAGCAGCTCTAGACCTCTGAGGATGAGATGTCCCCTCCAGCTGTGACGTTAGGCGTTCCTCTGCACGTCCCACATGCTCAGTGTTTCTGCAGAGTGTTTGGCCACTAATTTATTTCTGCTTCATCAGACTGATAAGCACGGGTATCGTGGTCTGTCTGGGTTCCATAGTCAAAATATTATTAGACTTGACTATTGTATGATTTTGTCTTACATGTTTCATGTATGGGAATAATAAACTGTCCAGAGACAACTATAAAATACTATTCCGAGGTCAGTAGAGGAATCTTCTTGCCCAAATACTGACAATGTCCACTTTCTTGCTGTAGAGATCATGAAACAGTAAGCAGTCAGTCCTGACTCCAATTTGCTGCTTAGATGGTTGCCCTTGTGTGTGATATCTCCATCTTGACGAGCATGTCAGGACCATCTTCTTTTCGGTAGGGAAGTTCGTAGACTTCAAGACTAGAGCCTTTACTTCTATTATTCAGCCAGATTGAATGGTCTTTCGGGGGAACCAAGTGCCGTGAAGTTAGCTTTGGACTCTCGAGCTCTCATTGAGATGTCTGCTAAAGCCACAGACATTCATTGTTCCTGACATGCTTTAGCTCTTACTATATTTGATGCCAGACTGACCTTTGGGAAGTCTTCATTTCTCACAGCTAAGTATAATTTCTCTTCAGTGTTTAAATCCACAGCCTTCCAAGGGCCAGAGCACACTCGAGTTTATCCAGACCCTCCTGTCAGTGAGACCTCATCATGGGCAGGTTGTCCATACTTCCCAGCATAGACAATGTCATAATTACATTTAAGCAAATGTGACTGATGCTTGTGAGTTTTTCTGTCTTCATTAAATTTGTTCACCTTCTCTGAAACCCCTCATGCTGCACGCTAGCACGGAGCAGCCGTATCCCCCGACCCAGCATGAGTCAGGGGTGCAGCCGCGATACCAGCCGTGAGAGCAGCCGCGATACAAGCCCTGCTCGGGGCTTCACTCCACTCGGTGAGTACCCATAGGCGCTGCTTGTGCAGACACTGCTGGGTGGAATGGCCGCTTCCCTCTGCTGCCCTGTGAGCCTCTCTTCTCTCTTTCCTCTTCCTTAGTCGCCCTTGTGGTCCCCTCTGCATGCATAAACTTCAGCAACTACCAGTTTTCACACATTAGAGGAAACAAATACCATTCAAGCTGCCGTGGCCATTGTGGCCACTTGTCACTGAGTAAGCCCAATCGTGTGGCCACTTGTCACTGAGTAAGCCCATTCATGTGGCCACTTGTCACTGAGTAAGCCCATTCGTGTGGCAGTTTCTAACATAGGGCAAAACTTAGCAGAAGTGAACGACTTCACGTGAATTCACGGGAGGTGAATTCAGAATTGAAATGTAGTCATCAAATTTTTGGCTTACCTTTATTTTTCCTAAAGAGGATGGAACCATGGCCTCAAGCTTCCAGGGCTTCCAGGGTGCTCGACTCTGAGCCACGCACCCAAGCCCAGTATATATAATTCAAAGGAAGGACAAGAGTATAATCATACAACATTTCAACAGCGAAATGAATTTTAGTTTTAATAGCCATGCCATCCTTTAAAAGGGTCACAGTACATTTATTTAATATGGATTATCAGTTCCCAAAGGATTTTTATCCTCCGACCTGTGTGGCATGTGGTGCCCTCCGGGTGTAGGTTTACTGTTGATGAACATGAGAGCAGAAGTAATTTTGTTGGTTTAGACCTGAAATGATCCCATTCCTAATGAAGCGGGGGCTTCAGCAGTCTGTGAATTTTTCCTTTTGGCTGTGTGATTACTCAGCTGATCTTTTCGCACTGTACACGTTGCTCTGAGAGAGACAGTAGTAGATCAAGTGAGAGCTCTCTCTCTCTCCTGCTCATGCCCTACACCTCTTCTGATGCCTTGATTTTCTCCAGGGTCAGTGATCCAAGTCAGGATGTAGCGAACAGATACCAACATCCTTCTAGAGGGTCCTCTTCCTCCAGTGGCTCCTTCCCTCAGATTCAGCCATTCTATCCCTCAGCCAGGCGGCTTTGCATGCAGGGACATTGCAGCATCCTCGTGATAGCAGCAGGGGTACTCCTCATGGTGATTTTCCCTTTTGAATGCAGGCTATACACCTGTGTGCCTTGGCTTACTCGCTGGCCTTCCAACAGCCTTGTTAGATGAGTGAGCCGTTCCGTCTGTGGATGACTTTGTCTGTTAGAAGCAGGTCAGCCTTTTTCTTGTGGCTGACATTTTACACTGTGTGGATCCAGCCTTGAAGTCTGACATACAATTTGTGGATGGACAGAGAGGGCTGAATTCCTGGTATTTAGACTGAACCCTGAGCACCTGATGGACCTCATCAGTTTTTGCTCCTTGGGTAAACAGGTCTGCTTAACTGTCTCGGTGACGTCCTAAAATAGTACAGTGTATAGTTGCTGTGGCCAGGACAGAAGCTGCAGCTCTGGCTTCATCAGCTGCTTTCTTCTGTTGGAGCCAGGGCAGTAGGAAATACTTCTAGCTGAATTTTTAGACCATGCCTTTTACCTCCTTGGGTTAAATCTGGGCCCCAAACTTGTGTGCAGAGGAATAACAAGAGGGCCATTTGAAGCATCAGCTGGCACAAGTGCTTTCAGTCCCTGTTCACACTGAGTGACAAGCACCCTTATCATCAGCCTCCGAGCCTGATTGTAACAGTCTTACATTGAATAGCCAGGTGCTGTTTTGACTCCCAGCCTGCCTTCTTCAAAAGCAGTTCTGATGAGTCTCTCACATTGCTCAACCATGTGGTCGATGCTTTGTAGTGAAGTCTCTTCTGGGTTAGACACAGAGAAAAGGGCTAAGAGATTTTACTGAAGCGTTGGTTTCCAGTCTTGGAGTTAGGACCCATGGATTCAGAGAGACCTCCCAGAAAGCGGCTGTCCTGTGCGAGCTTGCTCCATATCCCTGAGTGCCTTCTTTTTCTTTTTTGTCTCCACAATCACTTCCCATTAGTTACAGGCCAGACTTCATTAGGAAAAAGAAAGGAAGAAAGAAGGAGGGAGGGAGGGCAAAAGGAAGGAGAGAAACAGAGAGAGAGAGAGAGAGAGAGAGAGAGAGAGAGAGAGAGAGATGGGAGAGGAGAAAGGTAATGTATCTCAGTGAATGCAGACCTCTCTCTGCCTTTACAGGGGGTTGGTTGCAGGGCTGCCTGTAGATGCTCAAGTCTATTTTATAAAATGCTGGAGATTAAACACAGGCTATGTTCCCCATGCCTCCCTGCCCATACACTTAAATCATCATTGAATTATTTATAATATTAAGCACAATGTAAATGCTATGTAAGTGGTTGTTGTACTGTATTCTTTAGGTACTAATGACAGAAAGCATATTCAGAATCTCCAGGCGTGGAAGCTGTGGACAGTTTGCCACTGTACCTGCCGTTTTTAAGTTTGTAACACTGTGTTTAAGCCTCTCAGTAATCTTAATGCTAAGTGAAATTACAGCTTCTGGAACTCTGCTGCCAATCAAGTCAGGCTTTGATAGAAGTGAGTCCTCTGTGTATTCTATTGCTGGCTGTTCACTTGGGAATTCAACAGAGAGTCGTTACAGAGCAGACATTCTGTAGAGTATTGTGTCCAAACCAAAGAAATACATTTTAAGAAACCTACAGACAGATCAAGTATTGCTTAAATCCATTTTCAATGTAAGCATCAAGATAGAGCTCTAATGTGATAGCTAAGAACTGTGCAGGTCTCTCTGGTCTCAAGGAACCGGTACCCTGTAGCTTCCTTACCTAGGAAAGTGGTAAGTCTTGTTTTAGACACATCATCTCAATGCTTTGTGTGTTGATCTTCCAAAAAGAGGATTTTCCCTTCTCTTGTTTCAGGCCTCTAAAATTTTTATTGCTTGACCAGGTAATGTGTTCTCTTTATATCAATCTACCACAGGGTGTATGTTTTTTAAAGTGGCATGAGCTTAGAAATAAACTTACGCTGGAGGTTAGAGGTTTTGACGCTTTGTCAATAAATGTGTGAATTTTAATGTGTGCCGAACAATGGAGGAGGTAAAGGATTTCACCTCTCAGTGATTTGTTAAACGTGTGAGCATTCTGTGATATAACACCTTGGCTTTTCCAGAGCAGTGAAAGGCAGCAGGCATCGTCTGTTGTTTTCACTAAATGAGTAGCTGAATATTATCTGGGCCTGTGACATCTGAACATCAGACCAGTTTCTTATTCCATATTTACTTCTCTAAGTTACTGTTTACAAGGAAGGAACTTAAGATCCATTTCCTCAGGTTGATGAATTCATAAACATATTACAAATACTCATAAAATATTATCCTACATGTAAGTTTCCCTGACATTCACTGCTCCCTCTAGTGCTGATGCTGTCACCAGCACTGCTGTGTCCTGGCAGTGGTGTGTGGTCCCCTTTAACACTCTCCATGACCAGCAAGAGGTAGGTACTGTGACTGACACCACTTTAGAGATGAAGAACCCGAGAGAAACCGACGGTTAGTATATTACCAAGGGCCACAGCCGGCTGTGGCCAAGCCAGGCAGGCCTGCCATTTGTGTTTCTGAAATGGTGCTCAGACTCCCGCTCTGCATCTCCAAGGGCCTCTACACTCACTGCCGGTGGATACCCAGCAGTGAGACAGGTACATTGATAACTAGGGTAGCTCTGCAGAAAACACCAAGCCTTTCCACTGGTCAGATGCAGGTGTTGAGCCCCCATGGTCCATGAATTCCTGTTGAGATAACATTACGAACCTCTCGCTTTTGTTTTTGGTGCATGGTGGCATATGCATCACATACCAGTGACATCTTGTGAGCTGAGTTAGTGATCCATCCGTCGCTGTCCACCCTGGGCTCAGATGGCGCTGGCGCCTGATGCTCTTCATGTGGCTTATTTCCATCATGGCTGGTGGAAGCTTCGTGGTGTGAATCTAAACCTGGAGTCTGAGTTCGTCAGTGCGTCCTTAGTACGAAGCACTGTGACGAGTGCCTCTGTCATGCCTGTGTGTGTAAGAGCTGTGTGAGGCCAGCGACCACCATGCAGGGTGGGGGCCAGTCCTGCTGTCCATTCATATCCAGCACCATTTCTTCATGAGAAGCGCGGCCGTGTGGTAGCAGCCCCGCATTTCCTTTGGTACTTGTGTGTTAACCCTGTGGGTGTTGCCGTTCCTTTTACCTGCAGCCTCTCGACGTCATTCCAGGTCCACTAGTGCTCTCTCCACTGCTGAATCTGTTGGGCAGTCAGGTGAACAAGTGCTAACTGCATGATCAGCTTCTCCATCCGTCCTCCCACCCCCATGTCAGCCTCTGTTGTCATTGTGTTGGCTAGCACTTGGCATGTGTGTACCTCATGTTCGCCCTCCTGTGTTTTCTTTTTTTGAGTTGTTGAATGTTTATGATTCTGTTCATAGGCTTGATGCTCGGTCGCCTGTTTGGCATTGTTTCTCTAGCATTCATATTTACATTGAAACAAAAATCAAGGAAGTACTCCTTCCTTCCTCACACCTCCTTCCCAGGAAAAGACCAGCCCTAAGTGGTGTCACTAGGCCGGCCTCCCCGTGGGGAGGGGGATTGCTACCACCCTGCAGTCTTTCGTCTCCACAGTCCTTACTCCAGTGTTCTGTCAGGTGCTAAGGTGTTAGCGTCAGCTACCAGTTCCACACACCTAGATCACAGCATACGTCATTCACACATAGGAAAATATAATACCCTGAAAGCTTTGGGAAAGCAAGGTCAGGATCCAGGCCCTGAAGGTGCAAGAGGTTAGTCTCATTGTCTGTGAACTCCAAACCTGTCTCAGCTTCACTTAACAGAACCCACTGGCTACAGGAGTAGAGAGTGAGTGTCTAAAGATGCATCCATATGCCACCATAAATTAACTGGGTCATTTTCACACACTAACACCCCTAATGGCTCGTTTCTCAATGGAGTCAGCATGCTCTACTAATTCACACACTGTTGATGGTGCCGATGCTCACCCATTTATCCAGCGAATATCGTGCCCTTTCGTTCTTCCGAACGGAACCAGCTGCATGTTTTCACCATGTGGGCTCTGACTAAACGTCTCCTTAAGAACTAGGGCCAGGCTGAGGGTCCAGGCCTCTGTATCCATCCCTTGGAAAACCGCTTTATCATAATGTTGGAACAGTGAGTATGGACTGCAGGGTTTTGCCTGGTGATCTAGACAAGCATGTCCCCTTCAGATCCACAGGTCACAGTGTCCACTTTATCAGATGGCCGACAGTTGCTGTGTGTGGCAAAGCTGTAAGCATCTGGGAAGCACTGAGTCCTTGCTTTATTCTTAGAAAGTTTTAATTTTCTGTCTGAAAAGATCCAATATTATCCCTGGAATAAGAGTTGCTGGCATGAAATCTACTTGTGTTTTTTTGTTTTGTTTTGTTTTATTTTTTATTTTTTTGTTTGTTTTTAAGGCTTTATGTTTATGCTGGGTAACTTTTAAATGGCTTTAACTGAATTACTCATTTGTTCCTCATAAATCCCCTGCTATCTACCCTTTTTTAATGGAAAAAAAGACTTGAACCAAAATTACTTACAAAACAGCATGCCCAGACCTCTCAATTCTGTCCCTGTTCACTTTCTAACAAATGAGCATACGGATGACTGTCCGTGGTCTTCGTGGTTCACGGAGCCCAGCGACTCATCCCCAAAATCTGATGAGAAGATGATGTTTGCAATCATCAGCAAGTGCATTAAAAAAGGGGATAGTATGACATATGGTTTCTGTTTTTCTATTAAAAAATTTGTGACTGTGTATGAGTCTTTTGATTAGCAGTGTGTAAATTATTTTCCCTGCCTGTGGTAGTAGAAGGGTAAAATATTTTGAAAGTGATCTTTTAACAAAAGCTAACTAAACTTCACTAATTTTGTAGATGATGTCTTATTCCCTGTCCAAATGCTTAAATATATCATTTCAAAAAAAAGCCAGTTCCTTGGGCCCAGCAAGGTGGTTCAGCAAGTAAGGGCTTGCCAGCCTGAATGGGGTATCTGGGACCTACACAGTGGCAAAGGAGAAGTGGCTCCTGCAAGCTGTCCTCTGACTTCCACATGAGTGCCATAGCACCTCCCCACATAATAGTGAATAAATTAAGATGCAATTTCAAAAGAAAGATCAATTCCTGTAGAAATAAATATAATATCTTATTCTAAATGCTGTATTGCTAAAAGTGTGACTAAGGCAGAGGTTTGTTTTTTCCTTGTCCAAATAGTGTTTTCTGTATAACTCTGGGAAAACATATTTTTTATCTTAACACATTTTGATGACTAGACCTCTCATCCGTGGAGAGTGAGCCATGTTGGAATGTATAACTTCCACGGGCATCCCCCCGTCACAGTGTCGGGCTCTAGCACTTTCTCAGGAAAGCTGCTAGGCTGACTCAGTGGGTCCCGAGGAGCAGCTCTGGGATGGCAGAGAGGCGGGTCGGTGGATAAGAGCACCCAGCACCCAGTACCCATGTTCTGCAGTTCCCCAGTGCCTTTATTCCAGCTCCAAGGCATCTGGCACCCTTTTCTGTCCTCTTAGCACATATGTGGCATACACGCACTCACTCACTCACTCACACACACAAATAAATAGATAAATATAACTTTTAAAAAAAACTTTAGAATAATTATTTAAATTTCTAACATTTATCTTAAGTTTTTCTGCCTTATCTATATATAATAATATAAATAATATAATAAATAATAAAATATAACATAAATAATAATAAAATATATAATAAATAATATAATAGAAATAAATAATGTAATAAAATAACAGAATTCTTCTGCCTTATCTATATAAAGTTCATCATTCAGAAATCCTTCAAGGGACTCATGTGAAAGTTAAACTGATGATCTCTAAATGACTGTTCTTGAAAAGAAGGCATTAGATTTTTATGGTGATTATTAAATAATTTTAGTAAGTTGATCTTTTAATAATAACACTAGGGAAAATTTGTACCAAGATCAATTAATAATTTATTTCAAGTTTTAACTTTTTCCATCACTTTGCCTTACATCTTATTTCCCAAACCATGAAGTGTACTTGAGCTGAACAAACTACAAGGGTACTTGCCTCTAGAAGGAAAGCTGAGTAGAATATAAGATTCAACCCAGAGCCCTGCTCCCTGCTGTACGGTCCCTATCTTCTGCCTAAGCCTTTTCAGTAACAAAATGTCCAAAACAGGCTCCATTTGAAAAAGAAAAAAAAAGAAAAAAGAGGGGAAAGCACTTGCCTGTGGCTCCTCTGTGTTAGATACGAGCACCTTAGCCTACCACTGGCAGGCATACCCAGTGCAGGTCGCAGCGCCAGACCCGGTGCAGGTCGCAGCGGCTGGGAGTTTTCCTGTCGCTCTCTTTCGTGGGAGGAGGCAGGAACCCTTGCCGAGAACTGCGAAGCTACGCGTGGCTGACACATGTCCTGCTTTTGTTTTCACATAGATCGGTTTGGGCTGGGCCAGTCAGGAAGAATCCCTGGTTCCGTGAATGCCATGCGAGTATTGAGCACCAGCACAGACCTAGAAGCTGCCGTGGCTGATGCGCTGGTAAGAGGCACAGAAAGAATGGAGTCACAGTTGCTCAAACATAGTTTCCTGTCTTAACACAAAATTGCCCTCAAATCAGGTGACTAAGTCATCTTTTACACTCTTCAAAAGGGGTGTGAATAGGGCTGGGGTGGTGGCTCACCCGTCAAAGCACAAGCAAAGGTGAGGACCAGACCCACATGGATTACCATGCTCAGGGCTGGCCTGCTAGGTTATACATTGGCAATCTACGCGTTTGAGAGACAGAGATCAAGGAAGACCCTTGAAATCTCTCAGTCCAGCGTGCATATATGCGTGCGTGTACACACACACACACACACACACACACACACACTGACATGCTCACACACCACACATACATACGCAGGAGAGAAGGGAAAAGGTTAGGTAAAGTTAGCTATTTTTTTCTCTCACACGCTTACAGCACACAGTGAAATCAGCCTTCCCGGAGCGAGCAGTATCAAGAACCTCACCCATGCATGCTTCTTGGCACTCAGGAAATTTTGATGACATTGGGCTTCGCACATGTCATCAAGCTTTCTCTTTTGTTTTCTGTATACCATAGCTTCTTTTCCCACAGCATTTCCTATTTTCCATCCTGTTGCCTCCGTTGCTGTAGGGGCTTCGACAGCACAGTCTACACGCATCATTATAACAACGGACAGTAGAGTTTGAGACCTGAAAGTTACGTTTATGCTGCTGTGTGATTCTGAGCTAGGGAATTTCCCCCACCTCTAAAAATGGATCAATAAAGTAAATAGAGTACTTGTCATGCAAGCACATGGACATGAATTTAATCCCCAGAATCCATAGATAAAGCCGTGTGTGGTGGGGGCCTTATCATTGCTGCCCCAGAGAAATGGAGACAGGCTGATGTTTTGGGCTTGCTGTCCCGCCAGCCAAGCCGAGTCCATGAGCTCAGCTGTAAGTAAGACCCTGTCTCAGAAGCAAGGTAAACAGCATCTTGAGGAATGGTACCTCAGGTTGACATACCCCCCCAGCTCCGTTTCTCTTTCACTGTCTCTCTCTTGCACATGCACACACACATGCACACATGGACATACATGAAAATTTTCTGAAAAGTTAAGGTTTGGTCTCTAAGTATCTAAAGTCCTAGTGGAGGAATTTTCACTTACTACATTTTAGTACTGGGATGGGGGGATGCTCATGGTTCCTCCAGTCTGTGGTACAGCAGACACTCTGTAGGATCAGCTTTGGTGAGCTTGCCTCCCAGCTGGTAGGAGCAGCCTCCCACGCCCGCTTCACATGGTCAGCATTTGAAATAGGTGCTCTTCAGAATGGTCTCACAGGCGCCCTGCCCTCTGCTGCTGCGCTAAGATTACTCTCCTTTTAGGAGAGGAGCACACACGTAACTCGTTCTTACTGGAAAGTCTTCCAGTCTTTCCAGTCTGAGGTTTTGAATATGGCCTGTGCCACCTGACCATGGCTTTCTGGCTGGTACTACTGTGAATCCCGCTTCCATCCCTCTGCCTTGTTTGTTCTTGCTCAGTCAGATGTTTTCTTTAATGTGTTTCTCTGAGCAAGCTGTTGGCCACCTCAGAAGGCTTTCCTGGTAGGCAGCCAGCCTGGCCAGCTCTATTCATCAGCCTAAGCACAGAAGGAACTTTTTCTGGCAGGTATTGGAGTGCCCAGTATTGCTCAAACCGTGGTTTTAGCCTAAGAGTCAAGAGCTGGAACAGAATCCAGTGAGGCTTTCTTTTTCCAAGTCAAAGCATTCTGAATCTGCCTTTTATACAGTCAGAGACTTGAGAAAGTAGTGGTCAGGGGACTGGGAAACAATGGAGCTGCAGCCTTGGCTAAGATGGCCTTGCAGTTCAGGCAGATGATTTTTTAGTTGTTTAAATCCCACATAAGGGACTGTGTACACATTTCTAGGAGGCAAAGTGGAGCTGGAGACTCCGGCCCTTTGCTTTGACTCGAGCCTTCCTCTGAGCCCCAGCCCAGTCTGTCCATGCTGCCCTTGCTCCTTTGTCCACTCTGTCTGGCCTCTCTGAGCGGCCTGCTTCTGAAGGGGAAAGTGCCGGAATGGTAGGGAATCCTTGCCTACACAATGGACGCCCCGGGGTAGGAACAAATAATGGATGGACAGTGACTTAGAGAGGTGCCTCTGGGTGTGGGACATCTGGTCGAGAATTCTGCCCTAAGTCAGGAGCCTGGGGAGAGGGCAGGATGAGGAAATGCCATCCGGAGAGCGTCTGCTACAATCTCCCCAGACAAACCGCTTGCTGACCTGTGTTTTTGGTTTGCTAAGAGATGTTTGCTGTACACTTTTGTTGCCAGAACAATCCCCACCTGTGCTTCTGACATAATTCTCTATGCTTTTTCCCCCGTCCTCCAAAACTTCCCTGCCTACAGCTGTTAGGAGACGCCAGGAGCAAGGTACCCGTGCTTTCACTTTTGTTTACAACCTTGTTTTTCTGTTGCAAGTATATTTCTTTAGAATTTAGTTGAAAGCGGCACAAAATGTAGTAGCTGTAGTTAGAAATTCTGGTCTCGCGTGTTTCTGGTAAGCATTCTGGTTTGCTGTCTGTGATAGAGCCCGTCACCTTTCACATGCTTCGGGTACTTTTTTGTGTTTGTTTTAATGTCACTCTCTACTCCCTCTCCTTTTGTGTCTCATTTTATTAACTCAGTTTCTGTCTATTTTATCATAATTCCATGAATAGATCTGTCAACCACCTTTTTTCTTATTTTAGGCATCTGGCTTATGTAAGTGTAAATCATATGGTTTGTTATCTAAATCAAAGCTGTTTTCAAAGGTAAAAAGAGGACGCTATGAATAATTTTGTTGGGACAGGAGGCAGTACAGTCTTGAGTAAGCTGATTTTCAAAGTAATTAACATTATTTGAAGATTAAAACTATCTGTGTGGCTAGAGTCAGTGACTGCACTTAGGAAACATTGTATGTGCCAACCTTACCATACTGTTGTCCTGTGTATGGATTTAACACACTGTCTTATATTCAGGGTGTGAGAGAAGAAGGAATAGCCTGCTGTACTCTACTTTAAAAAGAAACCTATTGTGCTGGAAACATGGCTCAGAGTTTAAGAGCTCTTCCAAATATCCTGAGTTCAATTCCCAGCAAGCACTTGGTGGCTCACAGCCATCTATAATGGGATTTGGTGCCCTCTTCTGGCATGCAGGCATACATGCAGGCAAAGAAAAAAAAAGAAAAAGCCTATTTGCATTATAAAACTAACCAATGTTGTTGGCTAAAGTGGCTCACGCAGTATGGGACCCTTCTGCATAGACTACTTCCACCACAGACATGTCAACTGCACACTTCTTAAAAGCAAGCATGATTGTTGAAGCCAAGGGCATCCATAGCCTGCGCTTAAGCTCTGGGCTCTGAAGAGGTGAGCTTGTGCACGTGTCTGCAGTGTGTCCGTTCCTCATCCTTCAGAGTTCCACTGAATCCTCCCCCCCTCCCGCCCCCCGTAGTCTGGAGAGTGGGATTGTTGCCTTCCTCGAGAGGAATCACTGAGGCAGAAAATGACAGTTTGCTCAGCAGTGATACCTGGATCGGAACCCAAGACCATCTTGCTAGAAATCTCCCTTGCCACCGATACACATATCCACACTTTCTACAAAACAACAGATTCTCCCACACCAAGATACTGCCACCTTGACACTTCCCTCATCTGCAGGCATAGGAATGTGTGTGTTTTTACTTGTCATTCTGCACTGTTGTAGTTGTCAGTAAATGACTCATGAACATTCCCCTTCCCACTTCTTCCTTACCCCGCCCCCATGGGACATTTCAGAAGAAGCCTGTGAGGAGGAGGTACGAGCCCTATGGAATGTACTCTGACGATGATGCCAACAGCGACGCCTCCAGCGTGTGCTCTGAGCGCTCGTATGGCTCCAGGAATGGTGGCATTCCTCATTATCTGCGGCAGACTGAGGACGTAGCAGAAGTTCTCAACCACTGTGCTAGTTCCAACTGGTCCGAAAGGAAAGAGGGGCTCCTGGGCCTGCAGAACTTACTGAAGAGCCAAAGAACACTGAGGTAAGGAAAAGACACTCTGCCATGATCTACATCCTGTCCCATTAGACTCGTCAGGGGCTTTGAGGGAGTCTGCCATTACAGAGTCCTTGCAAAGTTCTTTCTAACGATTGGAAGACATAGTGCCTGCCACACACATGCTTGGAAACATCTAGAAAATTCTCTGCAATCTGTTAGGTGGCTACTAGACATTTGGTTCCTGTTAGGTGTATGTCTGTCCACTAGGTGATACTCCTGAGGAGTCGGGCACAGAAAGCAGCTTCGCATTGGTAACGCTGAGTCCACTCCAGGCTCAGGGTAAAGCGCAGTGTGTAAGCTCACACCACTTGTGTGCACAGCCTAGACGTGTGCCCAGCGAGCCTGGGATGAAATAGACACTCAGCAGCAGCAGCAGCAGCAGCAGCGCAGCTTTACAGCTTCTCTTGTGCCGTCCTTTGATATCTCATGCAGTTTTTAGATAACCAAGTATTACACATACCAAAGGAATATGCATTTATATAACGTTTCATCATATCTAAGCTGCCATCAGCATGCCATTATTTTATTCACAAAATGATGAAAATAATATTATTCACAAAATAATAGAAAGACCGCTCAGTGTGGCTAGTCTGCTCCTGTACTCTCAGCACTTGCAAATCAGAAGCAGGGGGATCCCTGGTATTTTTGGGTCTGTCTGAACTGCAGGGTGAGATCCTGTCTCCACCCCTCCCAAAATAAGTAAAAAAGGATGAGGGGATGGGGAGAGGAAGATAAATTTTGTTCACTAATCCAGCCTGTTAATTTGTTCTTGGTTTAAAGACCAATCTTAAGTAGATGTGAGTGACGTGTGGACACCAGTGAAATACGCTGTGACAGCCTTTGAGCATTGCTACAGAGAAGGCAATTTTTTGGTTTTTTAAAGAAAAAATCGTGACCCTGAATAGGTTTGCAGCTCTGGGTGGAAGACCCTTCTGGGCCCTGTGTGGTTCCTGAGCTGTTTGGTGTCCAGTCTGCCTCTGCACACCACATTCACCCTTGCTCCTGTTAACCCATTCTGTCCATGAAGCTGATAGAGGTTCTGCCACATCCTTTTGAAGCACAGACACCCTTGTGAGTGTGCTTTGTCAGGGTTGATCTGAAGCTCTGGTCTTGTTGACTAGTCCACTTTCTGGATTCCCAGTGTTTACCAGCTACACCTGAATTGTCCGTGCAAACCTGCTAGCACTATCATGTCTAGGTTACTGAAGGATCATTGAGGCATCTGTGTCTCAGACACATGAAGAAGGTGGATTGTCCCAGGGGGACAGGAAGGAAGAACTCTTCTTCCCAACCTTGATGTGAAAAGGGGACTTAGGAGACGCAGGTGTGCACTGAGGCTTTTCTTGGTCTCAGTGTTAACTGTGTCTTTGACTCTTCTCAGTCCCATGGCAGAGTTCCCAGCCAAAGACAGGGCAAAAGGTGCTAAGAGTGAGTCTCAGGAAGATGGTGGCCCAACAACCTGAGTTCAGTCCTTGGGCCACGTGGCAGGAGGAGAGAACTCACTGCCACAGGTTTTCCTGTGACCTTCACACACACACATACACACACACAGTTAGCTTGGCAGGTGGAAAACAGACGTAGGCTGAAGTAAGGGGACTTGCCTTGCATCTGTCCCCTTCTAGGAGGCAATTAAATCTGTTTCCTCATCTTAAAATGAATTGAAGATTGTAGCTTAAATTTCATCATGAATTAGATAAGATGATTAGTTTGATATAGGCATTGTTGTTATATAACTAAAGATTAGTTAAAGGGTTTCTAAAGCCATAACTAGTTACACTGGTGATACTACATCTTAAACTCATTTGTTTCCATTTTTTCCTCTAGTCGAGTAGAATTGAAGAGATTGTGTGAGATTTTCACCCGAATGTTCGCTGACCCTCACAGCAAGGTAACCAGGCCTTATGTAAAGTCCATCTGCATGCCTGTGCGAACTGTGTAATACACCCCGGATTGAGAGAGAGCTCCCCAGTATCTTCATTAACATCTTCCTAAGTACAGTTCTCGGGACTTAGGTGGCTGTCAACTTCCAATTAGGTGTGCCTCAAATAAGGAGTGTCCTGAAAGTAATCAGATGGAATCTTTCATCCAGTCAGCAAGCATCTTTGTCTGTCTCCTTTTAGCCAAACAGGGTGCTAGGTTCTAGGATATAATCTAGTACATTTTAGCAATGTTACAGTAGTGGGAAGATGTATATGATTACTTTGGTATCTCACATAGAATTTGTATTCATAGAATAAGATAGAAAAATGGAAGTATTTATTTATTGCCTTTATTGGAAAACCAAGTTCAGTTATTTCCCTGATGAAATCTGGCTGTTCCCGAGAGCTTGCTGGATAGAGTTCTCCTAGGTGGTACCCTGCCGTTGGGAAGGACTGTTGAGGAGAAACCATACAAAGAGTGGAACAAAGTCCTTTCCAGAAGTAGTGCTGAAAGGGACCTCTTTACAAAAGCACCTTGATTAACAGTATTTTAAGTAAATGCTGTTGTTTAGGAAGATGCTAGTAAGGGCTGTTGATGTCATGAAGAGATGGTGACAAGAGGGGGCTAACGGGTGAACACGAGATAGGCGCTAGAGTGTGGGAATGAATAGGAACTAAATTCATTGTGGACATGCTGGCACTAAAGTTTCGATGCTGGGAGGAAAAAAGCCTGTGGTGGTCAAAGAGTCCAGCAACTTGCTCTCTTTCCTCTTTCCTATCCTTGCTTCCTCATAGGAATTGTCCTTGAAGTAGTAAATAGTAAATATCCACCCACCCACCTGTTCACCCGCCCACCAGCTCATGCATTCACCCTTCTATCCACCCATCCACCATGCATCCCCTACCATCTGTCTACCCACCCACCCACCTTTTCATCTCTTCATCCATGTACTTACTCACTGCCCACCCATTTACCCATCTACCCAGTCATTCCACATTCCTTGAATTCCTGCCATGAGCTAGGGATATGGAAAATCCAAGCCCTTGCCTTGGAGGCACTCACATAAGCACTGGGACCAAGCACAGGGCCCCTCTCCTCCTGCTTGTTCCCGCGGCAGCCCTCACTAAATCATCATGCAGGCCTTCCAGAAAGCACATTTCAAAGCATTCATTTTTAAATTCCCAAAAGACTGAGTTTAATGGCCACCTAGATAACCAAAGATCTGATTATCAAGATTGTTCTCTATGGAGGTATTAGAGCAATAGGATTTAAAGCGTAAGCATGCTATAGCTGGTAAGTTATACCATAAGGGATGCTATGTTAGATGGTTTCACATTGATGCACTTTCTGTTACCCGTTACCTCTAGATTGCTGATTCAGAAGCAGAATGTGAGGATAAAGAAGGAAATTTGTTTCCATCAGAAGGCTCTTGTCCAGTGAGTTGGAGGTCTCAGTTTAGTTCATGTTTCTTAGCTACCTGAGCCAAGCTAGGAATCCCACCTCTCAGAGCTCACTGACTTTTTTCCTGAGCTGTCGCTGGAGACTCCTGGTGGTGAATGGTGGCTGTGATAGACCTGACGACCTGTGGGGTGGGTGTCCCAGCACAGCACCACACCTGGGGAGTCCCGTGCCACTTCCTTCCCTGAGACAGGCATAGAGATACGCTACTGTGCGCTGCTTTACCTCGGAAGCAGAGTAACTACATAGTGGCATGAGAATTAACAGGAATTTTTAGTAGCTCCCCTGATAACCCCTCCATAACATCTGAAATTAGCACATGCCAAATTACTTGACAAAAGTTAGTGGTTACAGAAACCTGAGTAGGCTTCTGCCCCTTTATGTCCTATAATAATATGTGTTGAATGCAAGGGAATGAACCAGACTAGTATCAAATCAGAACAAAACACCACCACCCCCGTCTCTCTGTCTTTCTCTCTCAGAAAATCCTCCAAGATTAAACTTCTCTTTGTACTGACAGTTACAGGTTTATATTGAGGTGAAGAGAGTGTTCTATCAGTTTGTAGCTTTTTCAGAATTCTTAAAAGAAACTGCATGAAACTGGTATTCCTTTGCTGTGCACTAACATGGAATTTGTTTTGTTGCATGCCCTGGTGTGCCGTGGAATTCACAACAGAGAGTAAGTGTCAACCACTCCCATCCTCCACCCCCACCCCCACCCCTGTGTTCTGATGTGCACTGTCTCTGACTATGAGAGCAGCCAGCATTGTTAACTCAAGTGACAAGACTGGGCTAGGCACTTGCGCTGTTCTCGGGCTGTGGAGGGATCCTGAATGCAGGCTGTGATGGGCTTGGTTTCTCTTCGTGCAGGTTTTCAGTATGTTTCTGGAGACCCTTGTGGATTTTATAATCATTCATAAGGATGACTTGCAAGACTGGCTTTTCGTCCTTCTCACACAATTACTGAAGAAAATGGGCGCAGACTTACTTGGATCTGTGCAAGCAAAAGTTCAGAAGGCACTGGATGTCACCAGGTGGGCACTCAGGGTCTTGGCTGTGGTGCTGGAGGAGTCCGTGTTCATCTCCCGTGCTCTGGGCTGACATGTCTCACCAGTCTAGGAGGGAGAGGACCGTGTCATCTCTGAGTAGGCAATACTTTATAAATGCCTGCAGAATATAGGCAGCTTTTCTAAAATATTTAGAGAGATTATTTAGGATATTCGTTTATACGTTTCTGAAGTTCTTTATTTTTAATACTTTGTTTATTAATATTTTGCCTCAGGAATTTAATATCAATATGTAATGTAGAAATCTTGTTGGACCATAACTGCCTCTAAATTAGCAGTTCTGGAGCTAGAAAGGTGGCTCAGTTGGTGCCAAAGTCTTGTATGAGCATTAGGTTCCAGAATCCTTTTTTCACCTATAATCTATAATCCTGGCATGGGAGTGGGGGTGGGGTCATGGAAAGGAGGGTGCTCCAGGTTCAGTGAGAGATCCTGTCTCAAAAAAAAGATGAGGAGTGGCTGAGGGCGGCACCTGATGTTGACTTTTGGCCTCCGCAAGTGTGTGTGTCCCCAGAAATAAACTAGTAACAGTAAGAAATAAATAATGCACACACCCACACTTCTCAGTTTAGAGTTTGAAAACATAGCCCTTCTGGCTGTTACAGAGGCTCAGGAACGTTTATGGGCTGTGCTGCTCTTCAGAAGAATGCCTGGGCTAGAAGTGAATGATCTCAGAAGATAATGGCCGTGAGCTGACTGATTTAGTATAAACAAAAGGAAGACTCACAGATCTTTGAAAAGAACAAGCAAGTGACTCCCAGGCACTTACATTATTGTCAGGGCAGTAACTTTCATAGAACCCAAATCTCACATAGGATAGACCCCAGGTATCATGGGATTTTCACAGCAAAGGAGCTCAGAGGTGAAATGGGATTTTCTCAGTGAGAAACAGAAGCTACCCTGACTTGCCTAAGGTCACAGTTAGTATTGGTGCTAGGATTTCTGCCTTTGCTTTTTTTTTTTTTTTTTTTTTTTTTTGTCTGCCACTATGATTCAGACTGCCCTGTAGGGTTGTGTCCTGCCCTCCTGCACCGTTTTGCTCAGTTGGCATATGCCACTCCAGCAACACATCTGTGCTTGCAGCTGCTGTATGGCATTTGTGACTCTGCACTCTGCTAGCAACGGGTGTTTCAGCCTGCTGACTTGTGTAATTTGCACAGATTTTGCACACATTTTCTTTTGAGTAGCATACATTGTGATAAGGCTTCCAAGGTCCTCTTCCACTGGATGGTTCATTTTAGCAAAATTGGAGACCAGTGCTGTACACCGGTGCCTTGGGGCCTCAGAGCGGCTGGCCAGCTGTAGCTGTGCAGACAGCTGTGCAGGTAGGAAGGAGGGTCCCTGGCAGCCTGACAGCTGTAGCTGTGCAGGTAGGAAGGAGGGTCCTGGCAGCCTGACAGCTGTAGCTGTGCAGGTAGGAAGGAGGGTCCCTGGCAGCCTGACAGCTGCCTCCACTTGTGGTCTTTCTAAAATATGGATCTAGTGTTCCTAGACTTTATAAAAAGTCAAAAACATAGATTTTGGTAATATATTTAAAGATGTTTTATGACACTGTAAAGACCAAATAAAGCACGAGTTAGTCCAGGGTGTCACAGCTTGAGTCAGTTTATGAATAAAATAGTCGTTACAATTTTTTGAAAGGTGGGACTATTAAGATTACAGTTCTAAATTTTGGTGATACAGTTAGTTGTAGCTCAGTGAATTTTTTCTCTCTCCTCTCTACCTCTGTCCAATTCACTCATTCACACACACACACACACACACACACACACACACACACACACACAATGAGAGGAAAATAGAATTGTGAGCTCTTATTAGTTATTTTTCCTTGACACCCTGTCTTGTAAGAGTCCTAATTTTAGGCTGAGGAGATGGCTCAGCACTTTCCCCACAAGCATGAGGACCGAAGAGATTGCCAGAATCCATGTACAACCCAAGCCAGCATGGTGGTCACCTGTAATCCCAGAACTTGGGGAGCAGAGGTGGGAGATCTCCAGGGCAACCTTAGCCAGACTGGCCAGCATTGGTGAGCTCTCTGTTCAAGATCCAGTCTCCGTAAACTGAGTAATCAAGGCAGATACTCAGCGTCTTCACAGGCACACACATGCACAAGTGAGAGCAGAAAACTCGAGTAAATTTGTGCATGGTTAAGACATTTGTTCCACCCCAACTCACTCAACTGCGGTGCAGAGCTGTTGTAGGAAAGGTCAGATAGGTGCAGAAGCTGCTGGAAAGATGGCCTAGCTGCTAATCCTGGAGGACACTGAATCTTATCAGTGATTCTTCACCAGGAGCAACTTGCTCCACTTTTCGACTCTTCCCTGGCCCCCTTGCCTCTAGCTGTGCCTGAAACAGGCTCATTTCCTGCCTAAGCTTACCCACCTGTCTCCATCTGCTGGAGGCAGAAGCAGGGAAGACTCATCTGTGGCTTGTTGACTACTTAAACAGCGCCACTAAAGTGCACTTTGTCTCAGAAGTAGCCCACTGTAGCTTCCAGCCTATAAATAGGCGAGCAAATAAGGTTGCTCTAGGGGCGGTTTTATCACTTTCCAGGGCAGGGGGACCCCAAGACTTTGCACATGTTAAGCAGGTGCTCTTCCACTTAGCTTAAGTTTACTCTTTATTAGTGATTACTATTAAAACACTGGTTTGTAGTGTGCTCTCCTTTATAAAACTTTATAGGTTTCTTGTATTGGTTCTTCAGTTTCCACTTCAGTCTAGGAATACTTGATAACATTTCTTCCTGCAATGGAGATTCAAGCCTGCATTCTCAGCCACTGTCCCACACCTCTGTAGGAAGTCTCTTAGGAGAGTCCAAAGAAAACAGTCTTATCACCCAGCCCCAGGGACTCAGCGGCCTCACCTTCCCTGTGTTGAGGATGACATCACATCTGAGTGGCCCCGTCAGGCAATTTTAAACCAGCAGTAGTGATTGCCACAGCTAAGGATGAAAGGATTGATGTTCCCTAGCCAGAAGCCCCCAGGGTTGCTTGATTGGATCAGACAGCACAGTGACTGTTAGGCATGGGCTTAGTCACAGGCTTGAGGCAAGAGGAGGGGCATCTGTAGAGCCAGAGCTGTGTAGAAAATTCCCAGCACTGAGAAGAATGGACATTCTTCTGTAGTGACTGCAGGAGGACCGCCTGCATGTACAGGACTAGAAAGACATCTGCTTGGCCTCTGCACAGTGGGGGCAAGCAACCTAGAGCAGAAGGAAAGTGGGATCTGGGGCCCGCAGTCTTCCAGGAAGCAGTGTTCAGAAAGCAGGGAGGAGCAGGAGGCTGCCTGCTTCCCCGCATTCTCTGCCTAGTCTTCAGTTTTAAAGTAGCTACTCAAAGTGACCTATATTCCTTTCCATGAATTTTCTATATGTAAATATAGTTTAATACTTACCTAAAATGAAAAGCACCATCCATAAAAATGTGAATGTACTTGTGTGTGTGTGTGTGTGTGTGTTTCAGGATATATTGTACAGTTTTATATTCTTTTATGTAATCAATTTCTTTAAAAATAAGAGCTGCTTTTTAGTTTTGATTTTTTTTTCTATTTTTTTTTTTTTTGTCCTAGGGATTCTTTTCCATTTGATCAACAATTCAACATTTTAATGAGATTTATTGTGGATCAGACTCAAACTCCAAACCTCAAGGTCAGTGGATACTCATCTTGTTTTTCTTGTTCCCTTTTCCCTGTGTGGCTTGTGATGTGTCAGATTCTGCATAACTGGGAGCATCTCTGTTTAGCTCTCTGTGGACATGCTCTTGTTTCTCTTGGTCCCAAATGACTAGTTCCTTGCGTAGGCAGATGCCTAACTCTTGTGCCATATTCTGTTCTTGTCAACAGTGTCGTCACCATCAATTGTGCGTCAGCCTTTACACAGTTGATGCTGTGACTAGGGGATCAGTGCCTTGTTAGAATACCTTCAATAGAACTTTCTCTGAGCCGCGTAGAAAGTCACACCTGTAACAGCTTACTTTCGTTACTATAAAAAGGAAGGGGTGTGTCTCTTCCTCGACTGCTGACTTTTCTTAAGGCTCTAGGATGGGTCCCTTTCTCCTGAGATCAAAAACTAATGAAGAAACTGGGTCAGAGTATGAGCTGGAGAGGTGGGAATTGCCTCCCAGGACCTGGCCGAGAATGCTTCACAGAACTGGCTTAAGAACTGGCTTGGCCTCCCAGCCAGTGGGAGAAATACTCTCTTTAAAACTCTAGGAATGGGGCTGGAGAGATGGCTGCTCCTTCAGAGGACCTGAGTTCAATTCCCAGCACCCACATGGTGGCTCACAGCTGTGTGTAACTCCAGTTCCAGGGAATCTGGCTCCCTCACACAGACATACATGCAGGCAAAATACCAATGTACATAAAATAAAAATAAATAAATCTTTAAAAAAAAGGATCTGAGCATATATAGCATCTAAAGGATATAGATGAGGCTGTCAGTTCATGCGGAAACTTAGCATGGGGAAGCGGGAGGTTCTGCCCTTGTGGTGTGCACTGCTGACCACCAGCTGAGACTTCTGTTCAGTTTGTAACATGTTCTTAACATTCATAACCCTTGGTCTCTCAGGTCAAAGTCGCAATCCTGAAATACATCGAGTCTCTGGCCAGGCAGATGGATCCCACAGATTTTGTAAACTCCAGCGAAACAAGGCTTGCTGTTTCTAGAATCATAACGTGGACTACAGAACCAAAGAGTTCAGACGTGAGAAAGGTATGTTCACAGAGCTGCAGCAAGACTGCAGACTCTCCTGCCTCATACGCCCGCGTCACCAAAGCTGTGCTGTTTCTGCTTCTCTGTCCTCTACCCATCCTGGTCTGATGGATCAACCGTGGCGATAACGAAGCACTGATGGTTCTGTGTCTGCTGGTAGGTGCTCTGATGAGGGACCGCGATCTGGGCTCACTGGCTGCAAAGGAGCCTGGGAGGGAATGTAACTGAAACATTTAAAAGACACAGCAGACTCCTGACTTTAAAATAGCCAAATCCTTCATTTATATGCCACCCTAGAGCATACCCTCTTTGATTTGGAAGTAGAATGGGATTCAGGTAGAATTTAGATTATGTGTGAGCACATGCATGTTATAATGAGACCGATAGTTTGTTTCCGGGCCGCCCAGCTGCTAAGCCCCAAAATAATCACACAGAAACCATATTATTTAAATCACTGCTTGGCCCATTAGGTCTAGATTATTGTTGGCTAAATTTTATATCTTAATTTAACCCATTTTCATTAATCTGTGTATCGCCACGTGGCTGTGGCTTACTGGCTAAAATTCTGGTGTCTTTCTCTGGCAGCAGGGCTACATGGCATCTCCATCTCCTCCTTCTTTCTCCCAGCATTCAGTTTAGTTTTCCCCACCTACCGCTATTCCTTGTGCAAGCCCAAGACAGTTTCTTTATTAACCAATGGTATTCACAGCACACAGAGGGGAATCCCACATCCATGCACATGTGTTGTGCATTGTTTGTGGCCAGAGGTCAACATCAGGTATCTTCCTCTGTCTGTCTGTCTGTCCGTCTGTCTCTCTCCCTCTCTTTCCACCTTAATTTTCAACCTGAAGCTAGTCAATTTAAGTATGGTGACTGACCAGTGAGCTCCCAGATCCTCCTTTCCCTTCCTGCTAGTGCTGGGCTGATTCACATAGACCACCATGTTTTTCCCCAGGTGCTGGGGATCTGCACTCAGGCCCGTATACTTGTATAGCGGCACTTTACTGACCGAGGCATCACCCTAGCCTCAGTATTATGGGTTTTTTTTTTTTTTTCGAGACACCTAACACCAAGCTATTACTTATTGCTTTTCTGGCTCACAGGACTATTTCCTGCTTTCTTCCAAATCCCCATATGGAGCATATCCAGCAGTGGAGCACAGGCTGCTGATCTCTTGCTAGGTAGTACTCTGCTTCCCAGAAATGTTACTCATAGATACCCGCAGAACATTGTCACCCCACAAACTGCAGTGAGTCACACTGGGTCGCTGTAGCTGTCCCCTTTCTACCAGTATCGCAGCCTCTGCTTGGGTTCCACATGTGGCATGTGCTGTCGTTGCCTTTTGCTTTATGTAAAAGCTTTGTGAGTTAGGGAGATGCATCGTTCAGTAAAATGTTTGCCTCGAAAGCATGAGGACAGCTCCCCAGAACCCACGTAAAAAAAACTAGGCTAGTGTGTGCTCATCCTGACAGCTCCCCAGCAGGGTTCATCTCTCTGCCCTCCAGCCTCTTGTTCGCCTCACAACCTGAAGGTCACATCTGCTTGGCCAGCCGGGTACTTTACCCATGCTAGGAGGCTTTTGGAAACAGACTTCAGCTGCTGCCACTCCAGGGAGTTCAGACTCTTCCCTGAAGAGCACTGTCTTAGGGGTCTGATGCTGTGAAGAGACACCATGACCACGGCAGCTCCATTGGGGCCACCTTATGGTTTCAGAGGTTTAGTTCATTATCATCATGGCGAGAAGCATGGTGGTGTGCAGGCAGACATTGTGCTGGAGGGGCTGAGAGCTCTACATCTGGTTGTATCACGTGACAAAAGAAGGGTATTTTAATATTTAAGGCATTTTTCAAAACCCAAACCAAACTCACAGCATGCAAAGGGTATTGGCTGCCAGACTGGTGGGTTGAAGGCTGCCGGAGACACCCAGCAGTTTACCTGGACTGGCTACTTTAACATTAACCTTTTCTTTGTGCAAGTGTGTTAGGCAGACTCTAGGAGTCACTACCCCTTTCCCAGTACACTGTGAGTGGAACGTAGTGGAGCGTATTACCATAGAAACTATTTGCCGTTTGGCCTCCTTTTGGCTTCTGCCTGTGCAGCTGAGCAACTCATTTACTCTCCCGAGTCCTTGTTTGTTATCTGCAAGGGGCTGATAATACTTGTCCGGGGCATCTAGGGCAGGCTTGATCACAATAAGAAACAGATCCTATAGCCTCATTTGCTATTGTATAAGGGTTGTTCAGGATTTGCTGCTGCTGTTTAGGAAACAAACTGAAGACCCAGCTCTTTCCAGCACTTAAGAAGTCATGTGATCTATGAAAGGCCGTCTAGTTAGAGTCCATAGAATCTTTACCACAAAATGTATTGGCTTGTTTCTTTCTTGTGTGTGTGAGTTTATGCATATATGGTGCTGGAACTCAACCCGGGCCCTTGGAACACTAGGCAATGTATTCTACCACTGTGCTGCACCACCAGCCCTTAGATTTTTCTTGAGACAGGGTTTCATGAAGCTCAAGCTGGCCTGGGGTTTGTGATCTCCAGCCTCAGCTTTCTCAGGGCTGGGGTTAGACGCATGCACCCCTATGCTCAGCCCGGGTATTTAATTGCATCTTCCTACTTTAGGATTCAAATGCTGAGTCAATGCATTGTGTCACTTGTCAGTGGTCTAGCAGGGACCTTTCACAGTTGCTTGGTAATTCCTTGGCTTCCAAATGTTTTGAGAAATGTTAGAGATGAAGACATAGCAGAGAAACTTAGGAATTATAAAGATGCCATTGGCTGCGTCAGGAAAAGTATATAAATGGTCTTTGAAGGGTGAAATTCCTAAATGATTATGAGCAAAATAGTCCAGAAGGTAAAGACTCTTGTCACCAATACTGATGACCTGAGTTTGATTCTTGGAATCCACATGATGGAAATGGAGAACCAACTCTTACCGGTTTCCTTACAAGTTTCCCAGTCCCCACATGCATGCTGTAGTATACGTGCACGCCCCCACCACACACACAGAGAAATAAATGTAAATTGTGTGTGTGTGTGTGAATATAGAAGCAGCATAGCCTCATCTGAAAAGGAAGAGTTGACTCTGAACTTGACCATGACTGTGACTCCCTCCCAGTCTCACTTTGACCTCTGATCACCCTTCATGTCACAGGGAACAAGAATTCTCCTCCCCACAGGGAGGATTGTGGTTAAATGGGGAACCCAGCAAGCCTCTGAGTGCTGAGATCTCACTGTCCCTGACTTCTGGCTCACGGGCCCCAGTGATGAAGCTTCACTGTCTCTGAGCCAGCAAAGAGCCCTGAGTGACCCCTCCCACTTTCTAATGCACCCTGTCCTCTTCTACTCGCCAGTCCCAGCGTCAGCGTCAGCGTAGTCGAGCAGGGGAGGATGCCCCTACTAGGTCAGTTCCTACCTGCTCTGGGCCTGGAGAAGGAAACTGGGAAGAAGGTTGTAAACAGGTAGATGGAGCCCATGTACTAATTCCAAGCTCACCCTCCTGTCTGCCTTTACATTGTCCATACCAGTCACTCTTGTGAGGCCACTGAAAATAATGGAATGATGTGTGTGCCTGCGTGTGCCTGTGTTTAACCACCTTCCCAGTGAAATGGTTTTCGAGTGTAGCTCACTGCCGTATTTAATAGAATTGCAAGGGAAAAGAAAGACAAAATCATAAATATCCAGGACTTAGGGAGGTACCTTCATCTGAGCTAGGACCCAGTTAGATTGTTCCCTGGATTATGGTGTTTGCTGCCATGCAGAGGAGGTGAGACAAGAAGCTTTCCTAGACAGCCAACCTAACCTGCTTGGTAAACTCCAGTTCACTGAGTGACCCTGTCCAAAAAGCAAGGTAGACAGCACCTGCAAAACCTGATGGTAGTCCTCTGGCCTTCACATGGCACACAACACACGCACGCACACACACGTACACACATGTACACACACGCACACACACAAAAATTGAAGATTTCACAATACCTTGTCTTGAGTTGTTTTGTAAAAGCACGTTTACTGTTCTCAGTAAATGAGAAAACTCTGTGTCCTTCTCTCCCCGTCTGAAGTTTTACAACCAAGCATCAACACTGAACATTTGCCAAGGTTTAATTTGTGTCTGCCAGCTTGGCAGAATTCCTTTCTCTGTGAGGTGTACAGCTATAACAGCCTTATGATAAAACTTAGATTTGAAATCTTTTTAAAAGCATATACTTAAGTTATATTTTTAATTTCTGCAGTTTTGTTCTGGTTGTAAGAAGACTGTACTTTGTAAGCATCTTTAAGCCAAAGTTTGACTTTTGAGCCCCGGAGATGTGGCTTGGTAGCTGAGAGCACTCGCCGCTCTTGCAGAGGACCAGAGTTCAGTTTCCAAGTACAGCATCAGGTGGTTTACAATACCTGTAACTCCAGCTCCAGGAGACACAGCATCCCACACCATACCAATGCCTTCTTCTGATTTCTGCAGACATACGCACACTTGTGCACATGTGTATACACAAACACACACAGATAAATAATAAAAATAAATTTATTCTTAAAAGTAAAGGGGGCTGGAGAAATGACTCAGCAGTTAAGAGCACTTACTCTTCTTGCAGAGGACCCCACTTTAGATCCCAGCACCTACATTAGGTGGATCACAACTACTTATAATTCTATGAATACAATAATAGGAATCTAACACCCTATTCTGGCCTCTGTAAGTACACACACATACATTTGTACACTCACCAACTAAATCTGTACGTGTACATATAGTTTTAATTTATATGATATATATAAAATTTAGCATTGGGATTATTTGGAAAAAGAGGCTAATGGGTTAGAACTTAAATTATTGTGTACTTTCTTTCCTCAGATAAATATATTCATATTACAAAGCCAAGGATTTTCACATTGTCTAGGGCTGCAGGCCTGTTGTTCTTAAAAGTGCTGCTTTTTAATCAGCATCATGAAGAACTCATTCATTGGTGGTGTTATGTGACATCATCCCAGGAGGAAATATGCTCTCTTAAAGACAGTGGCGCATTTCACACGAAGATAGACAGTTCAGGGATAGTAGGGCTGGGGCTGTAGCGCAGCCAGTAAGTCTCAGAGTGCTTGCCTAGCATGCACAAGGCCTGTGCCTTGTGTGGTTCCATCCACAGCTCCTCAAGGTCTGGGCATGGTAGTGCACAGCTGTTCCCTTGCTATCCTGGCACTCGGGAGACGGAGGCAGGGAAAGCAGAAGTTCATAGTCGTTGTTGAGTGCATGTGGCAGGCTCAGAGCAGACTTGAGGCCGACTCCAGAACCAAGAGTGGGATGCAGCAGTAGATCCGTGCAGTTCCCGCACGTGAAACCCCCATCTGTGCCTTCTTGCTGCCGTGCCACGCTGTGTTTGCTTGCTGAAATCCCCATCTCCTGCCTGCTTTGCACCTTTTTCTGCATGTGTGTTTTTCCCTAACACCTCATTAAAGGTTTTTAACAGTACAAGTTAATTTGTACACTATTTGAAGTTGGTTTTGTTATACGAATCGCCTTAACAGTGCCTTCATTTGTTGGGAAACAGATAATTTTGAATGATGCTTAAATCGTATGTGTTACTGTAGGGCAATCAGTAATGATGTTTCTCATGCGTAGCTACAATACAGTGGCCACTGTGGTCTGGATAGAAAGGCTGACTGATTTCAAGATCAGGAGAGGAAATGCTGCCCGGTTATATTTCTAGAAAGTTGGAAAATATTTTTTTTTTTGTCTCACAAAGAATATCATTCTACTTAGTTTTTATTTGAAAAATAAAAATATAGTCTCTGAAAAACTGTCATATAGTTAGTTAGAATGAAGTAGAAATCATTTCCCAAAAGCTTAAACAAACTGTTGTATCTTTAGAAACAGTTTTGCATAATATCTTTTCCTTTCTCTTGACTCTTAGAAATTAATAAGAAATGACCATTGGCATTTACCAGAAGTATCATTCCACTTAGTTGTGGGTTTTTGTTTGGTTGTTGTACTTTAATACAAAGTCTCTTACTTTACCCTTGACTGGCCCGGAATTCACTATGGTAGACCAGGCTGCCCCGAACTCAGAGATCTGCCTCTGCCTCTGCCTGGAGTCTTGGGATTAAAGGTGTGGCCACCATGTCCGCGTTAGCAGTTATAAGTCAGCCTCCTCATTGGTTCCTGAGTCTTTAGGTTTTAAGTTCAATTGCACAAGGCTCACTTCCGTAGGAGCACTTTGCTTCTGGGGAAGCCCCTGTCTCTTGTTCTAGCTCATTGCTTTCCCATGTGCCACCATCATTGTAAATGTCCCTGCATTGTTACCTCAGTTAATAAAACCCTTCCCCAAAGGTAATAGCGACTGCTTTTGTCTACCATCAGTATCCCATTGGTTTCCCCAAAGTCTGTGTTCTTGGCTCTTTATTTGGGGGGTTGGGGTTTTTTGTTTTGTTTTGTTGGGGTTTTTGTTGGTTTGTTTGGTTTGGTTTTTTTTCAGACAAGGTTTTTCTGTGCAGCATTGGAGCCTATTTTGGAACTCACTCGTAGACCAGGCTGGCCTCGAACTCAGAGATCCACCTGCCTCTGCCTTCTGAGAGCTGGGATTAAAAGCGTGTGCCACGACTGTATTCATATGTATTTCATGTGTATTTAAAATGTGTAGTTTCTTAGTCAGGTATAGTGGGTGAAGTGTCCCAAGATAAACCCTCTTTCCAGGGTGCACCGCCGGGCATTGCTAGGCTGTCCAGCTCTCCCTATAGTGAGAGCAATCTTAAGTATTTAGTGTGTTTTTATTGTTCTTTTTGCTGGCTTCCTTCCTAGTACTAGACAACCAAAGAAATGTGTTGGGCCAGGGCATTAAAACAGAAGCAGGGAATGTTCCAGATTAAAACTGGGCTCTCTGTGGCTGGTGCTGCCATTTTCTCCAGATTTCAGTTAAACAGAAGCGCTCTCCTTGAGAAAGAATGTCAGGGAACTCTCTGTTGAGACATGGTAACAGACGTTTCTGAGCTGTGCTTCTCTTTCCAGGCAGCACAGATTGTGCTCATCTCTCTGTTTGAATTGAACACTCCTGAATTTACCATGTTACTTGGTGCCTTGCCAAAAACATTCCAGGATGGTGCCACCAAACTCCTGCATAACCACCTCAAGAACTCCAGTAACACTGGTGTGGTAAGTGCCCTGGTTGTGGTTTGGTCATGACCTGCCAAGTGACCCTCACAGCTGCAAAGCTGATGGACAACAGCTTTGGTTAATAGCCTGTGAGCCTATGAAGGCTGGGGTCCTTTCTGATGCTGGCATACGCCCTGGAGGGGAATGGACTTGGTGCTCATCTGTGGCCTTTTTTTTAGGGTGAGGTCATTGAGTCAGTGCAGTGTTTACAGGTTGTCTTCCTATTTCATTCGTTCTTTGGATCTGTCTCAGATATTTTAACTCTGTAAAAAGAGAAATGCTTAATTCTGTATATAACTCTAGCCCAGCTCTATTAGCCCCTTTTTCGTTGCTCTGACGAGAGGAACTGAAGGAAGGGAGGATTTGTTTTGGCTCACATTTCCAGGGTGGCGCAGTCATCGTAACAAGGATGGCAAAAGCGGCAGGCCTGAGGGGCAGCTGATCACACTGTGTCTGTAGTTGAGGAGCAGAAAGTGGTGACTGCTGCTGATGCTCAGCTCACTGTCCTGGTGATGCTCAGCTCACTGTCCTGCTTTTGTCCAGCCTGGCAACCCAACCTGTGGGATGATACTGCCGGCCCTCGGGGTGGATCTTTTCACCTCAGTTAATCCAGTCTTGAAAGTTTCTCACATGTCTAGTGATTTGTCTTCTACGTGGTTCTAGATCTGGTCACTTTGGCAGTCAGTGTTGGCTGCCGTAAGCTGACAAGTGTCAGTGAGCTTCAGGGATTCCTACAGAACAATTATCCATCCATGCAACTAATAATCTGTGGAGGTGGCAGCTTAAGAGACAACAAGCGGGGTTGGATTTGAATTTTTAAGAAAGCCTTCGGACAATGATGCCTACACTCCTTTGCTCTAGGGATCCCCAAGCAATACAATTGGCCGGACGCCTTCCCGACACCCCAGCAGCAGGACCAGCCCCCTGACCTCACCCACCAATTGTTCCCATGGGGGACTATCTCCAAGGTAAGGTCATTCCACAAGTGAAGAATGAAGATGCCCTGCTTTCTGTGCAGCCTGGCTCAGACTTAAGCTTGATAGCAGAGTGCCAGGAGTCAGGGGGAGGTTCCGCCCCTCCCTCTGCCTGTGACTGTGTGGTCTTCGGCAGTTAACACCTGTCCTACAGTGGACAGCTGTGTTCCGTGTTCTCTGAACACTGAACCTGGTACCTCATAGATTGTAAGACTGAGGTCGTATGAGTTCCCGAGGAAACCTGTCAGCTGTCCTCCAAGAGACAGAAAACCCTAATGGTTTTTATGGAGTTATTGATAAACTTTTTAGAGTCTGCACCAAGTCTGGTGTAGTTTCCAGTCAGGAAGCCGCTCCAGGCCTGCCTGTGTCCTGTTTAAAGCAGATGCTGCTCTGATAGACAGTACCTGGGGACCTGAGCATCACAAGGTCCAGCATGTGCAGATTCCTTTTAGGACCGTGCACAATGGCCTTACAGAGTCAGGGGCCTAATCTCTTACTTATTTGTTTGTATTTTTGTTTTTGAGACAGGGTCTACTAGATGGTCCTGGTTGGCCAGGAACTTTCCATATATATATCTTGTCTCAGCCTCCAGGTTTGCTGAGATTACAGTCATCCACCACCATGCCCAACAGTGGGGTATGACTTCAAAGGAGAGCATGTTCTGTCTCAGGCTTTGTTAGACTCCCTCACGTGGGTTGGCATTACCTGGCCCCAGAGTGGTGCCTCTATGAGGCCACAAATTTTCTAGCCCAGCAAGGGCCACAGTTGCTGAGTTTTACCTGTGAGAAGTCAAGATCTTTAGGCTCTGAGAATCTCGAAGACTTTTCCTGAAGGTACTGTCACAAGATCTTAAAACGCAATGCGAGTGTGCCAGATGGGCCCCTCCTTCCTGGTAAAGGTCTCCATCTGCTGGAAAGATGGCCAAGTTTATTTTTGTTTGCAACTTTTGTCTTGGTTTTCATTTTGAGACAGTGTCTCAGCCAGGTTGTCTACTTGAACTTGCCTTGAACTCATGATCCTGTGCCTTTACTTCCCCTGATGCTGGGTTACAGGCATGTGAGACCAAGCCTGGCACATTAGTGCTTTTAAATGTAACTTTTTATGAATTCCTTTCTCACCACTAGAGTTCTCTTCAGGCCCCAGTTATGCAGCAGTATTATGGAACAAAAGAAGTCTTTTCTCTTGGGGAGAGCATGTGGTTTTTGTTTGTTTGTTTTTTGAAAGCATGTGTGAGTTGTTTTAGCACCTTGCTGGTTTTGGACTGCTTTGTATGTACTCCCTGACCTGTAGTATCTAGTCTGATGTCACATCTCCAGATTCGATCTGTGTTGTCAGGTTCTCAGTGTGTTGTTAGACAGTTGTGACAGAAGCTGATGCCAGGATGTCTGCCCCTCCTAGTGTGATTGAATACTAAGATCTCTGAAGTCTATGTTTTGTCCTGAGTGACCAGGGTTCAATCCAGACAGTGAAAATGCAAACTGCATGTTCTCTCCAAGTTTTTGTTTATCTAGACACGATGCTCTGCACTGTAGTTAGGACACCTGCTCTTCTACAGTGCGCAGTTCATATGTATCTTTTAGCTATTGTATATTAGCTAATATTTTATTACTTTATTAAATGCCTAAGTTTAAAAAACGGGTGGGAAAAATTTAAAAAAAAAAACAAACGGGTGGGTGGGTGTCCTAGTGTATCTGTCAAAGAGCTGGCTGGAAATTAATCTTCGCAGATCTATTAATTCATAACCATAGCTCTTTTTTTAACTCCTAGGTAAAAGAAGTGAAGAGATTTTTTTTTTTCAGTACCAAAAGGTCTGGCTGTGGCAGACATATTTTCCTGTGGCCAAATCTTCTTTAGGGAATACTTAGTGTAGTTTCTTTCTTTCAAAAAAAAAAAAGTGTGGAAAAATTAAAACCCAGGATTGGGTTCTAAAAGTCTTGATCCAGTCTAACAAAAACTGCCCCTGTTTAGTGCTCAGCTAGCTGACCAGCCTGAGCCCACGAGTAGAGAGGGTTTGTCCCCTGGTGAAAACTGCCCTGCCTGGGAAGCCTGTCTTCTACTGGGGAAATTATAAAGGAAGTGCAGTGTTCACCTAAGCGGCTGAGTTCCACAGCTGCCCCACCCCCACCCCCCACCGTCTCGGGAAGTGATAGGCAGCACAGCGCAGCCTCCCACGTTGCCAGGTGCTGCCCTTCGAGCATGACCTTGACTATAAAGTGTTAGCTTTTCATTCTGGAGACGGAAAAAGTGAGATGATCTAGGACTTTTAAAAATTTTTTATCCAAAAGTTCATGGCAATACTAAGGGTCAGTTTAGAAGTGGCGACAGCTCTGACACGATGGTGGCTTTAGGTCTGTCCAGTGAGGAGGCTCTTTCCATCAACCCAGTGGGGTCAGAGATGCCAGCAGACTAACACTTTGTGAGAGTGGGATGGTTGACAGCTATTCCCAACTGATGAACACGTGCAGCTATATTTGAGCAGAGATTTATGACCTATGTTTTTTTCCATCGTTTAACACTTATATTTTAGTTCATTTTACCCATTATGATTTTGTGGCAGAGAATGAACTGCAGTTCCAAGTGTCTGGGGTGTTGCTGCAGTCTGGTGGGTGCTCCTGATGAGCGACTCGTAGAGCAGAAAGGAACTGCATGGTCACCTCTGGTGCCATGGCAAAGTCGCCCTGCAGATGGTGCTTGTGTTTCTCCTATCAGAGTGAAGCAGCACCTATAGAATATTGCAAGCCCAGTCCCACCCGGACCCAGCCTTGAGTATCACCTCTATTCCTTTACCCCTTCCCCTAGCCCCAAATGTGGCTTGAAGAAAGTCTTTAGACCCTGTACCACGATGCCCTCTCATCTCCAAGATGTATTTTCCCTACAGAATGGATTCTGTGACCCTCCTCACGGGCACTAACACCTAGGGACACCTACTGTGAAAGCTGTGTTGGTGGGCGCTGAAGGTCAACCTTGTGCTTTTTAAGCATGAGGACTTGAGTTCAGAACCTGTTCTTAAACTTTCCTAAAAAGGCCAGGCACATGGCGCACACATGTACTCCCAGCAATAATGAGATGAGGGTAAAGACGAATTCCCAGCACGTGCATGCCAGCTAGCTTACCTAGCCTGCTTGGTGAGGCTCCAGACTAGGGGGAGGTCTTGTCTCATATAAAAAAATAGAAGTCATCTAAGTACTGGTGCCCCCTGAGGCTGTGCTCTGACCCCGTACATACACACATGTTCAGACTGCAGCAGCAGCAGGATGCTGCAAACTCTGCCTCATGTTCTCACTCCATCCTCTGCTCTTGTAGCACAAGTTAGAACTTTCCCTGAGGACCTCCGCAAGCCCAGGCCAGGTAGTGACACTGTGGCAAGCAAGTGGACGCCTGTGTTCCCAGATGTATTTTAGTTTCCTTTAGATGGTATAAAAGCAGAGGAAGCCATTTCATTCCTTTATTCTATTTTCTCCCCTGGGACTTACTGCTCCCGTGTACCACCCTCCAGCGGTCCTCTGCCCTCTGAACTCTCACCAGATCCCCGGCCCAGGAGCACGGTCTGTCTCTGGAGTGCTGATGCTCTTGGAGCATCTCCTCGCTTCTGTCCCACTTGAATTAAGTCTTGAGAACGCCACCTCTGGTCCTTTCTGAAATAACCTCTAGGGTGGTAAGCCTGAGCTCCCTTAGTTTCTCCCCAGTCTTCCAGTTGCATGTCCAGCCCAGGCAGGCAGGTGCGCCCTCTCACAGGTATGTACACAGCTAAACTTGGGATCTCAGTCGACTCCTGGTGACGTCAGCTTAGCCCATGGTTGGGAAAGAAAAGAATAAAGCCAGTCTTACTGAGGAGCAAAGTGTAAAATGAACCTGTTCTTTTCCTCTATGTATGAAGCACTACATGTTGCTCCAGCTAATTTGATGGGCTCTATGGAGTGTCTTCCTCTTCCCCTCCCCTTTGCTTCTGTGTTTCTCTCTCTCTGATTTTCCTCTTCTGATCACTGCAGTCGGTTGTGGGGTTGGAGTGCCGATGGGCTATCGAAGCCCCCACCTCCCTTTTCTCAGCCTAACTCCATTCCCACCGCTCCCTCCCACAAGACTCTCAGGCGCTCTTACTCTCCCAGGTAACATGCTACCTGTTAAATTTGTTCAAAATGTCACAATATTATTGTGTTTCCAAGGTTGCCCTGGGTCTTTTGAAAAGCCTCTGAGCTCCTCTGGTGTAATTCCTGCTTCCGTTTAGCCTTGCAGGATTGGAGCCAGGGTGAGCTGTGTGAGCAGAAACAGGCTCGGGAGCCAGACTGCTGCTCTGTCTAAGGACAGTAACTTCTTTAACCACCCAGCCAGACCCATCACCATTTACCCTCATGGGCTGTTTGGCCTGGTGTGGCATTCAGAACTCGTCATGATGTCCAGATAGCAGTGGAGATTGCAGTTCCCCTCATAGGAGTGCCAGGTGCAGAAGAGCTGGCGTCTTAGCGTACTTTTCACCGCTGTGATAAAGCGCCATGGCCGAAAGCAGCTTGGGGAGGAAAGGTGTTGTTTCCGCTTATAGCTTGTAATCCATCTTCCAGAGAAATCAGGGCAGGAGCTCCAGGCAGGAGCCTGGTGATGGGAACTGCAGCAGAAGTCATAGAGGATGCTGCTTACTGGCTGTTCTCATGGCTTGCTCAGCCTGCTCTCTTATACCCCTAAGGACCCCCTGCCGAGGACATGACAGTGGTGGGGGGCCATAGTGGGGGACCCTCCTACATTGATCACTGGTCAAGAAAATGCCCTACAGAGCTGCCTACAGGCATGTGATGGAAGCATTTTCTCAGTTGAGCTTCCTCTTCTCAGATAATTCTAGCTTAAGTCAAGTTGACAAAAACAAACAAAACTACCAGAATAGGTAACTTCATTGTCCCATCTCCCTACAGATGCCCTACCTAGGGCTGAAATGAAAGTTTCGTGGTGAACCTAGCATGCCTGAGGCCTTGGGTGCAGTCTCCAGTACTGCTAAACAGACAAATGCATTAGTTGGGAAAAATGCTCTCCCTTCAGACCGGGCATTATTTGTCCCTAGCAAGCATCATCTGTTGGTGGGAAATGCTGCTCAGCACTGTGACCTTGTACAAGTCTAGAAGGACATGGTTTCCATCAGGTTTTAAAGGTTACGCTTGTGAGCCCAAGAAAGTTCTATGTATTCCTCCAGACACCTGTTCCAGGCCTCTTAGACACTGTCGTAAAGATCCGAAGCTAAGAGCATGCTTTTCCTAGAAGCCTGTCATCTCAAGGGCAGAACATGGGAGGTCCAGCTGTCACTGGGCTCTGTAAGAGGAGTGTGTAGCCAACTGTGTAGAAGAATTAAGAGATTTTAAAAAGAAGAGAAAGAAAACCCGAGGGCCTGCAAGGTGATGTGCCCCTGCCTGACTACCTGAGCTCGGTCCCTGAAACCCACATGAAGGTGAAGATGAAACCCACTTCATAAAGTTTTCCTCCGACCTCCACGCGTGCATAATGGTGCCTGTACACACACTCATGATAAAACATTTTAAGAATTTAAAAAACGAGCCTGGAAAACAAGGCGGCGGCAGCCATGGGTTCCTGTGACAGCTGAGGCACAGACTTGTGTGGTCATGTTAGCCTTGTCAGCAGTGTAAATCTGCGTCATCCACTGTCCCCCAGAATGCTGGCCTGTGTGCCTCATTCCAGCCATCTTCCAGCCGGCCACCAAGATTGCCATCCAGAAGATTCCCTCTCCAGAATCCTCTTTCCCACAGCACATTCTAACTCACCCACTGACAACAGTTAATACACACTTAGACTGTGGGGTGGAGCTTCCCTCTGCTGCACCAGGCCCTGGGTTCAATGTCCAGTATGGGGGTGCACATAAGGAGAATCCCTGGTAAGCAGCCGAGGAGAGAAAGCTGAGTGAAAACGGGCCTCTTTCTCTATATGGTATTCATCTCCCAAAACAACAGAAAAATAGTTTCAGAGAGCAGGCTTTCTCTCTCCGTTTGGTTTCTTCTTGGCATCCTGACCCCGTGTCCCTTCCCACCCACCACCTGGTTCTCCGCAGACCAGTCACTGAGGAGTGGCTGCAGTGGACTGTTGACTGACGGAGTTACTCTTCGTAGACTCTCAGGAAGCCCTCCTGGTGTAATCCGAATGTTTACAGGTGATCAAGGCCTGGCCTTTAACCCGGAAGATTTGTCCTAGGATTGTCTCCAATCTAAAACAACGCATTATGGGTCACAGCCTCTTCACGGTCTACTTCTAGGCGCTCCCCCTAGTCCCACTGTGCCATCCTTCAAGTCTCAGGGTTGGGGGCTCTATCAGTTTGAATCCTAGTGCCTACTTCAAGTGGCTCACAAATGCCTGTAACTTTAGCTCTAAGGAGCCGACACTACTTCTGGCCTCTGTGAGTACCTGTGCAAGCATGTATATACACACATATGCATATATACATACTCAAATTTTTTTTAAAAAGTCTTTTTAAGGGACTGGAGAGGTGGCTCAATGGTTAAGAGCATTGCTCTTCCAAAGATCCTGAATTCAATTCCCAGCAACCACATGGTGGCTCACAACCATCTGTAAAGAGGTCTGGTGCCCTCTTCTGGCCTGCAGACATGCACACAGACAGACTATTGTATATATAATAAATAAGTAAATATTTTTTTTTAAAAAAAAGTCTTTTAAAAAAATAGTTCTAGGGTTGTTTGTCCAACCTACTTCCTGATGACAGCCTTCCTGGGAAATTCTATTTCCCCTAAGAAGTGAAGGCTTAAGGGGTATTGATCTTAAAAAGGACTGAGCCATAGAGATCCTGGAAAAAGCAAACGGGAAAGCGTGGTCTCTCACACCTCGCACTCATGATGCCGGCTTCACTCTGAGGGCACCTGAACAGGTGACCTTCGGGGATGGCCGCAGTGGGTATGGACACGCGCTGCTCCCAGTTGGCAGCTGGAGTCAGGGAGAAGGGAGAGCAACAGCTGGCAGAGCCTTCATTTTCTTATCTTCAAAAGAGGCCATTGTGATGGCGCAGTCGTTTGAACTGAAATGAAAAACTTTAAGGGTGTTTGGGTAGAAAATCATGGGGTGAATTTATCTGAAAGCCAACATTCTCTGAAGCAACACATGGAACATAATATTGTGACATACCGTAAAAGATTGAACATCCCTCCAGACCACCTCTTGTCCATCCATCACTCTTTCAATCCGTTGGTTTTTTTTTCTTTTGCATGGGCTATGCTATTATCTTTGGTTGTTGTGATTAAAAGTATTTAAGGCATTCTTTTACATCTTGTATATATATTTATTTGAGTCATAATACTCAGTCTTTCTATATAAAAACAGTGTACTGGTCAGATGTATAAACACTTATGAAGGTAAGCTGGAGTTGCAGAGTGCCGAGGAAAGAGTCATGGACTCCCTCTCCAGTCGTGCTTTCAACACTTCCGGAGAGTTGCCTTGGGGACAGCCTATGAACTGAGGATGTTCTAAATTAACCTCTCTCAAAAAAAAAAAAAAAAAATTGGTCGGTGGTGGTGCATGCCCTTAAATTCCAGCATTCGGGAGGCAGAGACAGGCAAATCTCTGTGAGTTCGAGGCCAACCTGGTCTACAAGAGCTAGTTCCAGGACAGGTTCCAAAGCTACAGAGAAACCCTGTCCTGAAAAACAAAAAACAAAAAAATATTCTCATGGGTGCAGACATTGGGTTTCAGCTGCAGATGTGTTCAGGGTTCATGTTTCTTTTCACTGAGTACCAAGGCCAGTCTTTTGAGTTGGCGTGTGTTGTCTGAACTCTCCTAACACGGCTGATGTGTGTGTGCTTTCTTCCATTTATCAGGAAAGAAGGATTCTGTCTGGACCAGTGCAGTGCTAGGCTAGTAGCTTCCACCCATGGGAGTGAACTCAGGACTGTTGCTGTAGCCGGCCTTAGAAAATACCCTCCAGCAGGCAGACACCTGCCCACTCTGTGACAGGCCCTAGGGGAGGAGCTTAGTCAATTCTGATTGTGTTTAACTTAAGGAAATTTACTTCTTGTGCCGGGCATGGCTTGGCGGTATTGTCATTGGAACGGATCTCACCAGGGGAAGAACTGACAATGCTGCTTGCTTGTTCCTGCACAGCCAAGGGTTGCCAAGTACACCAGCTCCTCAGCTTGCTCAGAACTTTCTGTATGTGAAATTAGCTCACAGCATCTCATCCTTTCTTGATACTGTGTTAGTTGCCTTTTAATTGCTGTGATAAAATATCATAACCGAGACACTTAGAGAATGAAGAGTTAATCCAAATTAACTTTGTGGTTCCAAAGGGATCGTGGCAGAGGAAACATGGAAGCAAGTAGCAGTCATGATGGCAGGAAGCTGAGAGCTCACATCTTCAAACCATAAGCATGAAGCAGACTAACTTCACGACTAGTGCAAGACCCCCTAGTGATGTGCTTTTTTCAAGAAGAACACAACTTCTAAACCTCCAAGCAGTGCTACTAACTGGGGATCAAGTGTCCAAATAGCAGAGCTGATGAGGGACATTCTCATTTAAACTACTAAATTCCACTCCTGGCCCTATGGTGATACAAAATGTATTTAGTCCAACTTCAAAAGTTCTCGTAGTCTTTCATAAAGAGCCCAATGTCTCTTCAGAGACTGTAGGCAATCTCTTCATGGTAGCCCCCTGTAAAACCAAGACAAGGTACATATTTCTAATATATAATGGCACAGAAGAGATACTACAATTCCAGGAGAAAGGAACAGTTAAAAAATACTGAACCAAAACGAGACTGAAACCATTAGAGCAAATGCTGAATCCTCTAATTCTTATGTCCGTGTTTGGGGTTTTCATTTCAAAGGACTTGGATGGCTTTGCTGCCTGTGATGTATGTCTCTTCCTTAGGCTGATTCTGGCCCCTGTGTGCAGTGCAGCTTTACAACTTCCCGGAGCGGCATCTCAGAGCCCCTTGCCCTCTCGAGGCATCCATGTAGGGACTGCCTGCCACATTCCGTCTTCGGTGGCTCTCTGAGACTGCAGGAAGACTCTCCAGCCCTTTCCCTCTCGCCTCCTTCATCCAGTACCACATGGACATGCTTACCTAGTTCAGCACAGCCACCTTTTATTCAGTTGCTTTGTAGAAGCAGAAAACTCCTTAGACTTCGTTTCACTCCCTGGACGCTGATGGGGGGGGGGGGGGTTGACTGAGGGCATCCTTCTCGTTGTCTCTGTGCGGAGCAGGGGCTCTCCTTACCTGCTACAGCCCCCCCCTCCCCCCCGTAGCACGAGTCTCAACACAGCATGACGGCAGTAGTCCAGCTCTGGCACCAACTTCTGTTTTAGTTACTTTCTGTTGCTGTGATGAAATGCCATGACCAAGAGAGCTAGAAGAAGTTTCTGTGGGTTTACAGCTCCAGAGGGAGAGGAGTCCGTCCCAGCAGGGAAGCATGGTGGCAGGAGCAGGAGACTGAGGGAGAGGAGTCCGTCCCAGCAGGGAAGCATGGTGGCAGGAGCAGGAGACTGAGGGAGAGGAGTCCGTCCCAGCAGGGAAGCATGGTGGCAGGAGCAGGAGACTGAGGGAGAGGAGCCCGTCCCAGCAGGGAAGCATGGTGGCAGGAGCAGGAGACTGAGTACACATGTGCAGAGGCAGGCCTGCTGCAGAGGGCAAACTAGAAGGTAGGAGGGCTTTGATTCTCAAGGTCTGTAGCCAGTGATACCGTTCGCCCAGTAAGGCCACACCTCCTGACAAACTGTGGGCCATTTATTGAAATACCAGAGCTTCTGGGAGACAGTCTTGTTTAAGCTCCTACAAATTCTGTTCAAGCAAGCAGTGTTTAAACTGTCCTTAGTCGATTGTCCCACCATGCTTTGCTCTCACTGTTGTCTGCCCATCCTGTGCTTCGTGGTCTCTCTAACTCTCAGTAAGGAGGGGTGTGACCCTCTGGTCAGCCTCTTCTCACACATCTAAAGAGCATTTGCCGACAAACTACAGGACACCAAAAGGCTTTCTCTTTTTCTTTTTTTCAAACCATCTCTGTTTCGTGTTTTATTATTAGTGTCTCAGAGGATCGCAGTTGACATCACTTTCCCGTGAAGGACAAGTATTGTTTCTACAAGTGTTTTTACATGCTCATCCAGGAAGGTGGCTCATCTCTTTAAAAAAGAAGTTCATATTCCCAGCAAGCTCCTGGGCTAGACCAGTGGGAAATGGAGCCCCAGGAGCCTGGTGAGGGTAGATCCGACTCTGACTCCCAAGCTGGTGTCTTATGTTTTTTGAGGGAGAGTGTTAATTATTTCTCTGGATTGGATTCTGGGGTGCATAGCCAGTCTTGTAAAGTCTCTCTGTAATCCGAGCTTATTTCCATGTGCCTATTCCTCTAGAGTTTGTACATTTGAGACCAGTAACAACCAAACTACCTTTTCCATCTCCAGGATGAGAACGTTACTTTTCCACCATCATCACCTGTGCGGTCCGTCACCAGTGTCACTCCTGAGTTCTCCCATTCTTGTGCTTTTGTCGTCCCTCACTGGCTCTCGGTGCTGTGTGATGTGTCTGGGGCAGCTCTGACTGGAAGGTGGACAGTGGCCGTGCCCTGACAGTAGCTGTCCCATTCCTGTCCCAACTAACCAAAGACCCCAAGTACAATTAGTCTTACTCTAAATTACTAAATCATTTAGGCCTGTGTCTTGGTTTTATGCACACCTCAGTTTTTCAAAAACTGCTTTTTTTTCTTTTAAATCATAGCATGCTGGACTATGATACAGAAAACCTGAACTCTGAAGAAATCTACAGCTCTTTGCGTGGAGTTACAGAAGCCATCGAAAAGTTCAGCTTCCGAAGCCAAGAGGACCTAAACGAGCCGATTAAGCGAGATGGCAAGAAGGACTGTGATATCGTGAGTATCTTGGGCCAGCGGACAACTATGTCAGCAGACTTGAGTCTCTCCCACACTGAACTCCCTGGTGACAGCGTCTTCTACTCTGGTGTTAAAATAATAGTACTTGCAGGGGCGAACACAACCCCAGTGTGGATCAGCAGGTGCAGGGGTGAAGATGTGACAGGCAGCCTTCCAAAGGGCAGAAGTCTGACCCATGCTAGACCCTAGAAGAACTTTAAGTGCATAATGCCAGGTGAAACAAGCCAGCTGCAGAGGGGCTAGTCTGCTTTTATTTCCTTGCCTGAGATGCCCAGCATAGGCAGATTAGTAGAAAATAGAATCAAGGTTTGTGTGGGCAGGGGGAGTGTTGTTTATTGTGTGTGGGTTTGGGGGGAGAAGGGATAATGTGAAAGACTGGAGTATACATGATGTTGGTGGTTACACAAAATAGTGAATGTATATAATGTCACTGAACCATATGATTATGGATGGTTGAAATGATAGGATATGTGTATTTACCACAACTTTTAAAACCATATAAACATAGAGTAAGAGTTGTATCCTGTTAGCAGCACAAAACATCACCAGTATGTTCCAGATTCCTGAGACTCATGTCCAGGTGAGGAAACAGGCCGCCCAGGCTAATATGGCCAAGGTGAAGGTCTAATACTGGGTCTGGCTGCATTTCTATTGCTCTGATAGGACAGAAGTAGCTCGAGGAGGAAAAGGTTTGTTTCTGCTCGCAGTTCATGTCACAGTCCGTCCCCAAGGGAAGTCAGGGAAGCCAGCTGATGCAGAGGCCATGGCGGAATGCTGCTTACTGACTTACTTCTCATGGCTGGCTCTGCCTGCCTTCTTATAATACTCAGGGCCACCAGCGCAGAGGTGGCACCACCTGCGATGGGCTGGGCCCTCCCATATTAATTAAGAAAATTTACCGCAGGCCAGTCTTCTAGGGGTACTTTTGTTTTCAGTTGAGGTTTCCTCTTTCCAAATGACTCTAGATTGTGTCAAGTTGACATAAAACTAGCCAGCAGTGCAAAACTATCGAAACCTGCTCGAGACCATTGAAAGACCACTGTGAAGACAGACGTAGGAGAAAAAAGTTCAGTACTAGGTATCCAAAGAATGGAGAGTGGTTGTGGCCTGGGAGACACTTACTATGTCTCTCAAGGTTAGAGGTAATTTTAGGATAATCTGGCTAAACCTCATTATTATCTCAAAAAAAAAAAATCAAGGGGCTGATTTGTGGATATTTAGACTGTTTTAGGCTCTGAGCAGTACTTGAGCTTTCTCCATAGAGGTGTTTATTATTAAGGTGTCATTGAGAAGTCCCTGCTATTGGCATTAGAGCCAGAGGCCACAGTGGTCTGAAGCAGGCTTCTCAAGCATGGGGACAATGAAGGACATACTCCTCCATTTCCAAGGAGCTCTTGAGACTGCATGGTAGTGATCCTTCAGAAACCTTGTGAGTACAGTGAATCACCAAATAACAAAGAAAAATAGGCTAAATATATACGCAGATGTAGGAACGTTCTATTCAGATGGAAAACCAATAGCCTGGAGCTGGACAGATGGCTCCATGCTTAAGAGCACTTGCTGTGCTCCCAGAGTTCAGTTCCCAACACCTCTATCGGGCAGCTCACAACTACTTGTAACTTCAAGAAGAGCACCCTGATGAGGCTTCTGTGCGTACAGACAGACAGACACACATATACACTTTTTTTTAGTAAAATTAAATCTCAATAGCTGTTGTTCGGTCAGTGGCCAGCTTGCAAATGGAAACCCCTGACCCCTCTAAGAAATTCCTAAACATCAAAGAAAAAGTGTGGCCGAGTGTGGTAGCACATGCCTTTAATCCTAGCACTGGGAAGACAGCCTGCTATGTGGGTTTCTGAGTTCAAGGCCAGACTGGTCTATGTAGTGAACTCCGGACTAGCCAGAACTACATAGTGAGACCCTGTGACAAAAAGAGGCAAAGGGAGGGAAAGAGGAGGGGAATGAAGGAGGGATGGAAGACAGACAAATGAGCATGTTTCAGGAGGTCCCTGAGTGACTGTGCTGTGTTCCAGGTGTCCCGAGATGGGGGAGCAGCCTCACCTGCCACCGAGGGCCGGGGAGGTGGTGAGGTGGAAGGAGGCAGGATGGCTTTGGACAACAAGACCTCCCTGCTCAACACACAGCCTCCACGTGCCTTCCCGGGGCCACGAGCACGGGAGTATAACCCGTATCCCTACTCGGACACCATCAACACCTATGACAAGACGGCGCTGAAGGAGGCGGTGTTTGACGATGACATGGAGCAGCTCCGAGACGGTCTGTCTGCCTGCCCACCTCTTTATGTCCCCTACACCTTCCCTCAGTCACCCTGCCTGTGGTCCATGGACACAAACAGAAACATGGGGTCTCCTGGTCCATCATTTGCTCGGAACTGCCTATTGAGTCCCTGCTTTGTGCTTAGGCCTGAGAAGCCCCCTGTGAGTAGAAGCCTATTTGTTTTTACCCTCTGAGAGCCTGCAGTCTGTCCGTGAAGTCTCTGCTACTGGGGCTTCCTGGAGTGCTCCCTGAGGGGAGTGGTTGACCAGGACGTGCAGCAGGGCTCAGGCACTAATAGTTGCTGTCTGTGAAGACCTTGGCCCACACTGCCCCAGCTCTCTTAGCCGTGAAGGTGAGGTCCCAAAGCCATGCGCTCTTAAGCAGTGTGGCACCCGGGGTCTTCTCAGGCTGTGCTCTGCTGTGCCAGAGGAAGGAGGCAGGGCATCTGATGGTAGCTACTTGCCTATCTCATGCTTGGGGCTTTGCTGAGACGCATATGCCCATTAGCTCCTGAAATTAGAGTTAGCAAATAGATTCAGAAAGATTAAGATACTTGCCCCAAAGAATAACTTAGGGATGTGTCTGGGGATTTCTTCTGAGTCACGTCAAGACCAGTATCCAGAGCCTGTGAATGTGGCTCAGGGATTGAGTTGTACTTAGCACATGTGAGGCCTGGAGTCAATCTGCACGACCAAAGCAAAATCCAAGCCCAGTGTCCACTAGCAGGTGGCCAGTGAGTGACGCTGCATGGCTTTGACGGTGTTCGGAACAGCAGCTTAAGTTTTTCTTTTCCCGCCTCACTGCTCACATCCACCTGCTTTGTTCTATCGCAATTTCGTGTGACTTTGCAGCTTATAGTAGATCCGTTTTGTTTAAATAGAGTTAGAGTGGAGAATTGTGTAAATTGTAATCTAAATAATTAATGACTGCTTGAGTACTTTCTGTAGTCATGGAATAATCAGCTTGTCCTGCTGGAAGGAAAGGAAGGCACACTTCCTGGCATGAATGCTCCAGCCTGTGGGTTACAGACTCAGAATGAGCACACTTTGGAGGGGGCTGCCACATGAGGCAGGGGGCTGATGCATGAGGCAGGGGCAGGTTCAAGGCACAGAAGGCAGAAGGGCCTGGCGCTGTGCAGTGCTGTGACAGAAGACAGTTCTGCAGGTGTTCAGCACAGAGGGGGCATCAGTGGTCAGAAAAGAGCCCTGGAACTGTTGTTCCCCTGGATTTGCTGAGTGCCAGTCCTGCTGCCAGCCTGGGGTGGCCGGTGTTTGCTGTGACCCAGGCTTTCTGGAGAAGTGGGTGATTTTTCCCTTGCATGTGGAGTTGTTTCACCACTTCCCCTTTATTACTCGTGCCCAGAGATTGGAGTGTCAGTTCTTTCTTATCCACTGCCTGTGCACTGAAAGCTTATGGAGAAAGGAGGGATGGCAAGGGGAAATGGCAAGTGTGCAGGGTCTTGAGCTTCCTGTGTGCTCACCCCCTGATCTCAGAAGCTAAAGAAGTTTGCAAATGTGCCTCAGGAGAGTGCTGGTCATGGCTTGTCTCCACAGCTGGTTCCCATGCTCCCTGTTGAGAGCAGAGTTTTCAGGGTTGAGGGTTCTCAGTGAGCATGGACAGGGCGAGAGGGACCTTCAGGCCATCTGATGTATTTCAGACCCTGCTGGTACCCATGCGAGTAGAGGTGAGCAAGCTTTCCAGTCTTTGGATGGCATCCATTCCAGTCACTTTGATTGGCATCAGTACTGTGTTGGTTCCCAAGCCCTGCACATCCAAGAATGGACCAGATACTAGTCAGTGTGATAGTCTTGAGGGAATGTTTGCGGTTGGAATGGAACAGATGTTTAGTAAGAGGATGGGAGTGCCTTGGGGAAATCCAATTTGTGCACGGAGTGGGTGTCCTACCGGCAGGAGGCTGTCCAGTAGAAAGCCTGGCTCAAGACTGTGAAAGTAGAAGAGAGTTTGGGAAAAGATGGGGCTTAAGCACTTGGATGTTTTTTAACCTCTGTATAAAAATAGAAAGGGGAGGATGGTAAGAAGGGAGGCACATGGCACACTGCCGTTGTGCAGCTGGCCTGGCGCTCTGTTCTCACAGCATGGTAAGAACGTCAGGAGTACACAGGGGAGGCTGGCAGCCAGGCAGGGCAGAGGACGAGGGGAACGCATAGCACCCATCACTCAGAGTTGTGGTAGGAAAGAACGTGGCAGGAACCTATGGCCCTCGCCTCCTGAGGTTGCACGTGTGTCTCCCCAGTGCCCATTGACCACTCGGACCTGGTGGCTGACTTGCTGAAAGAGCTATCCAACCACAACGAGCGTGTGGAGGAGCGGAAGGGTGCGCTGCTGGAGCTGCTCAAGATCACCAGGGAGGACAGCCTGGGCGTGTGGGAGGAGCACTTTAAGACCATCCTGCTGCTGCTGCTGGAAACTCTAGGGGACAAGGACGTAAGCACTCTCACGGCCCTTCTGCATGATGCCTTTCCTGAGCAGGGCTGAGAGCTCTCCTTTGTGGCATCTGCGCCTGACTTATGTGCAGACCCCGGTCTCCCTGTCACTGTGTGTACCCTTCCTGAGCCTAGATACTTTACACAGGAGTTGCCCAAACCCATTAGTGTAGACGATAGCCTGCCAGGCTTCATCTCCGCATGAGTTCCACTTTTATCTCGTGTGAAATAAGGTAATAGAAAAATTTATTTCCACATTTTTTAACTAATTTGCCAGGTGATGGTAGTGCACACCTTTAATCCTACTTGGGAGGCAGAGGCAAGTGGATCTCTGTGAGTTTGAGGCCGGCCTGGTCTATAGAGAGTTCCAGGACACTAAGGGCTACACAGAGAAACTCTGTCTCAGAAAACAAAACAAAAACAAAAAACAAAACAAAACAAAAAAAAACTAATTCATGTGGTCACACAGTACATGCGTGGAGGTCAGAGGACACCTTTCAGGGGTCACTTTTTTCCTGCCTCCATGTGAGTTTTTGGGATATTCCATCTTGATTCACCCTGTGCCTGTGTTAGAGCTAATGTTAGCATGGCAGACAACAGGTTCCATGGTGTATTTGTGGTTGGAAAACAAAACCTTCATGCTGGCACATTTGAATGTGACAGACCAGGCTTTGCAGCATGCATGGGCTGTGACTACCCCTGATATGCTTAGTTGCTAACATCGGTGGAGGTGAGTACAGTTGGGGGAGGTGATCCAATCCCAATCTTGCCTCCAACCTACCGAGCAGGCCCGCAACACAGAATTGGGAGGGAACAGCTGGGATTAAGTTTCCTAAGTAATGCTCCATCTTTCCACATTGGTTTTGCATGACCTAGCAGACACAGTTGAGAGGAGTTTCAAGAAGCTAGCACAGTGTGAGGTCACAGGCCAGACCCAGGGTCACAGAGGTGGTGACTGATGGCAGCAGGAAGTGGGGGAAGGAGAAGCAGTAAATGCTGCCCTAGAATTGTTTTCTGACTCTCGGGATCAAAGTCTGGTTTAGGGGTAAGTAAAGATTAGGAATGTTAACGAAAGGCCCACACTAACTTTTCTTCAAAGTCCTGTGCCTATGGAGGCAGTTACACTTGGCTGAGCTCTGCGGGGAGATGGGGTGATGTCACACGGAGGGCAGGTGCTTTCTGTGTGCGTTTGCACAGTGCACAGTTGAGTGACAAGGAATCAGGATGTGCTTCTTGGCTCTGTTTGCAGTAAACTCTGCTCTCTCTTCTTGAGATTAGGCGTCTGTTTGGAATGGCTTTTCTCCAGACACATGACTTGGGCTTTAACAGCTTGAGGCCTGTTGCATGGTGACCTCATCACCCAGAAGGTCAGGAACAGACGCAGGTCTCCAGCAGACCTCAGAGAGTTCACAGCCTGGCAGGCCTCTGTCCATGACAGGGTCCCTGTGCGTGTCTCACAGAAAGGTGACTCAGGAACCCAAGCTTCCATTAAGTCTAGAACATCTAGAGAACTGACCTTGAACTTAGGTCTGCAGTACAGGGTTCATTCTAGAAGCCTTTGCCAACCTCTCCATGTGGTGGGTCCTGAAGATGACACCGTGCATCAGTGCCTACCCTCTTGAGGTTGACTGTCTAGGAAACATGTGTTGAGTAGACTTGTTATCCATGGAGAGGGGCCCAAAAGAGGCCAGGCCACCCGGAACATGTTTAGCCTGTGGGCCCATGCACGCTGTAGGCATGAACAATAGTATGTAGGCACATACTATTCGGTGACATTTCTTTTCCCCTCACACCTAGCATTCCATTCGAGCTCTGGCACTGAGAGTTTTACGGGAGATTCTGAGAAACCAACCAGCAAGATTCAAAAACTACGCAGAACTGACGATCATGAAGACCCTGGAAGCCCACAAAGACTCCCACAAAGAGGTTGGTTAGCCCTGTGACCATGCACAACAGAACTGGGTGGAGGAGGGCAGAACCCAAAGTGAATGTTGAAGCTTATGAGTCTCCCTTGTGAACTGGCCTGGGTTGTATGGAGTAAGATTCCTACTGCTGACATCAAAGCTAAGGAACTGCATGTCTAAAATGCTTACAAAGTGCATCTGTGGTTGCCAGGTCCCAGCATCTCCACTGTCCTCAAGTGAGCAGGCAGGCTATATCTCTGTGCGTCGTACATGTGGTATAGATGATGGGCTCTCAGCAGTCACTGGCCAGTTTCTTGGTGGTGTGTTGAGCCCCTGTGATTTCTACTCTATGGATAGGCTAGAGACCTCCAGAGTCTAGTCCAGGGCTGGGTACATGGCCTAATGACTTGGGAAAGTGTCTGTTATACAAGGATGAGTACCTAGGCCATCTCCAGAATCCACATTAAAAGCAGATAACCCAGTACTGGGTAGGAGACAGGTATATCCATGGCATTGCTAGCCTACTCAGAAAGCTGGAGCAAACGAGACCCTGTCTTGGGAAAGAGGGAGGAGAGGAGAAAAGATGGACAGCTCATGAGGATTGACAGCGGAGATGGCCCTCTGGCCTGTGTGCACTCGCACACAGCAACAACCTCCGTCAACACACATGTGGAAACCAGAATGGCAGACTTAGAACTGGAGCAAACTCAAGATGACAAAGAGTAGGTATGAGCCCACCAAGCCATGACCGCTTTTCCAGTGCAGCCTCTTGGTTCTGCATAACTATTGTGAGAATGCTCTGGATGAGGACTAAAGTAGGACAGTTCTTATACCAGCAAGGGAATGAGACCCTGAGGGTAGTTTTCCTCCTGACCATGGATTGGCTGCTTGGGCCGTTGCTGCTTTGACCTCCTCAGATCGTCATCTGGAGGAGGGGGTCTCTGTCTCTCTCTGCATATAGGATCTAGGAATATTTCCAACAGGGGACTGAGTCTCTAAAACCTGGCTCAGTGGCATGATGGTGACACTCATGTTTGAACAGAAGGTGCTCCGCTTACAATAGCTCACTTGAGCGTGTAAAGCAGACAGGCTCATATGGTCAACTTCATTGTTCCCAGATGAAGAAGAAAGGGCCCAAAAAGCCTGCCCAGTAGTTCAGAGCAGAACAAGTATGGACCAGGCCTTGGCTCTCTTCGGAGGGACAAACTATCTTGCAACAACTTTGTTTTTTTAATAGCTTGTCCTTAAAATCAATGATGAAAAATTGAAGTGAACTAGGATTCAGGTGTGTCCAACCAGCAGTTTGGATTCCAGACTAGCTATAAATGCAGTGTAATTCACACAAAATTGTAAGCTTACTTAAAAGACTGGAAGAGGCACACACGCGTGCGTGCATGTGTGTGTGTGTGTGTGTGTGTGTGTGTGTGTGTGTGTGATGTTTTTCTTTAGTTATACTATGTTCTGTGTATACATGTGTGTATGATGCACATATTGGAGACAGAGGACAGTTCATTGGAAATTAGTTCCTTTCCTTCTCTCATGTTGAATCCAGTGGTTCAAATTCAGACCATCAAGCTTCAGCAAGCACCTCTACCTGCTGGACCTCACTCTTTTTTAAAACTCAACTGTGCCATTCTCAAGCATGTGCTTTGTAGATAGCAGTGTTAAATATGGCAATGTCAAAAAGTTAGCCACACCTGACAGGTGGTAGTGGCTATTTGGTGACAAAGGACAGGCTTGAAATGAGATTAAAGTGAACTAAAGGGGCTGGAAAGATAGCTCTGTGGTTAAGAGACTTGGCTGCTCTTCCATATGACACAGGTTAGACTATATATCTATATGACAGCTCTCAACCAAATCTGCAATTTCTGTGCCAGGGGATCTGTGACCCTCTTCTGGCCTGTGGAGCCCTAGGCATGGCGTGGTACACATGCATATGTGCAGGCAAAATACCATACACGTATTTATTTATTATTGAACATTTAATTAACTAAGTTAATATGATGTTTGAGTACTTATTATCCAGCTAGAAGCTATCTCTTTAAACTGAGCATCCAGTTTAAATATTGAAAACCTTTACAGTGGACTCTTAAATATAAGTTAAAAATTCACTATTTTATTTTTCTTTTCCTTGAACATGGTTTAGTAAGTATGAGGTTCTCTTAAATTGCCCAGGAAAAGCGTGAAAAGATCTCCTGTTTCAGATACATTTCCCAGTATTCTGTCGGCATGGGAGTCCTGTCACCAGAAGGTGCCACACTGCCATCACAGTGACCTGAGGGTGCCAGCGGGACATAGTGTTCTAAGGTCTGTTGGCAGGCTTTCTCTGCTTTGCATGTCTGGGCTCACCTTGACTCTATGCCCTTGCCACTTCCTCCTGCAGCTCAGACTGCCACATGCCCAGGAGCGGCTCGGGAGCATCTGTATGTTTAGGTTTGGGGTTTGGTTTTTATTTTTCTTGAAAATTCTTCATCTCTCTCTCTCTCTCTCTCTCTCTCTCTCTCTCTCTCTTGCCCTCTCTCCCTCTCTCTGACACTTACGTATGTGCACATATAATTGTGTAGGCAAATCAGCCTTAGGTGTCCTCAAGTACACCTTTGATTTTGAGGCAGAATCTCTCACTGGCCTGGAACTTGACCGGTAGTCTATGCTGGCTGACAAGATGCCTGCCAGCATCTCCCTAGTCCTGTGACTGAAAGAGCCACTGCACCTGGTTTTTATTATTATTGTTGTTGCTGTTGTTATTTTATTTTCAATGAGTGTGTATGGGTGTGAGTGTGCTCATGCCTCTGGGTATATGCGGGTGGAGGTCTAGGACAGTGTCAGAGGTCACCTCTCTCCTTTCACTCTGGGCTCCAGGCGTCAAATCCAGGTTATCGAGGTTGTACAGCAAGTGCTTTTACTTGTTGGAGCCATCTTGCCAGCCTGGCTTTTATGTGGGTTCTGGAGATTGAAGTTAAGTCCTGCGTGAGGTGTTATCAACTGAGAACCCCCCACCCCACCCCAGACACACACACACACACACACTTGTTTTAACCAACTTGTCTCCATCCCTGGTCTCTGGTTCTCAGGATTCTTCGAGATAGTTAGCTGAACATGCAGTTGCTGTGGTGGCCATGCTGGTGGCTTCATTTTGTCTATTGTATTTTCTTACATTTAGTACTTAGGACTCCAGCCATGCTTAGATGGGATCAGTGGTGCTTTTAGGTTTCTGTGTCCATCATCCAAAGGCAGAGTCTGTTTTCCTGTCTGTTCAACACTTCCAAAGTGTGCCCATCCCAGGGGGCCTCTCTTAGAACTACTCTCTCCTAAAATGGAAGTGATTTTACCTTCCCCAACAAAGCCCAGGCCTTAGTAGGAGATGAACACGCATCCTGGCTGGCTCACACAGAACTGCTCCAAGAGATGGAACACCAGCCATCTTCCCTGTCACCTGTGGATGTAAGGCAGAGACCGGAGAATCTCTGTAAGCTCACAAGCCAGTTAGGCTAGCTCACACAACAGCAAGCTTAAGAGAAACCCTGGTGGGAACAAGGTGGGACGTGGGCATGATGTCTGGAAGTTGTCCTCAAGCTCCCCGTGATCACTGTGACACACACACACAAGTGGGGGATGGACACAGAGAGAAGCAGAGCAACACGCACAGTGCTTATGTATTAGTGTTTAAGGTGGAGGATGCTGGAGAGATGGCTCAGCAGTCAAGAATACTTGCTGCTCTCGCTGTAGAGGACCGAGTTTCTTTCTCAGCATCCATACCACCATCAGTAGCCCCAGTTCCCGGGGACCCAATGGCTTCTTCTGCTAAGGATACTGCATACATATGGTGCACATATATTCCTGCAGGCAAAATGTTCATACACATACTTTCTTTAAGATTAAAGAAAAGGCTGCTATTCAACATTAGAAAGGTAGGGCTGGCGGCAAGACGGCTGGTTTCCTTATCCATGAGCTGAAGTCAGCTGTCGTAGGTTCCTAGAAGAGCTGTAAGAGCCGAGCATGGTTCTGACACACACACTGGAAATGCAGGTAGCAACTTCTCTGAAAGCCACCATCCACAGCAAATGACAAACTACAGAGACAAGACAGGTGGGTTCAGAGCCTAGCTTACAGCTGTATTTTAAAGGCTGGTGTTGGTCATCTTAGACATAGTCCTTTCATAGTCCTATCTGAGTAAGGCATTCTCTGCCAGGATCTTGGCTTTGTAGTAGACACTGCTGAGTTTTTGTCCCTGTAACATTCGTGGAGTTCCTGAGTGCTGTGTTGGTGTTTGCATTCAGCAAACATCTTAAATGGCCGAGCTTGATGCAGCGGGCTCTATGATAATTTCACTCATGTGAACACTCTTCTCCTTTACATCTTTAATCTGTTTGTGGGAGCTGACTGTGAATCTCTTCTTCGACAGTCAGTGAGGGTTTGATAAGAGAACTAACAGCCAGGCATGCTTCTGAGGCCTGCGTCTCAGTAGAACCCGCTGCACCCTGCTCCAAGGATAGGTAGGACCCATTCCTTCCTATACAACCTGCATATACAGGACCATATGAAGTCAGAGTAGTCTGTCTGTCTGGATGTTTTATTTTGTTTTGAGCACCTTCTGTTCAAACATGAGTGTCACCATCATGCCACCAAGCCAGGTTTTAGAGACTCAGTCCCTTGTTGAAAATGTTCCTAGAGCCTATATGCTGTGTACTATATGGCTCCAGCACAGAGAGACAGAGACTCCTCCTCCAGATGAAGAAAAGCAAAATCAGACCAAAGTCACTTGAAAATAGAAGGTAAAAAAAAGCTCCCCAGCTGCCTGGCCTTCCCCAGAAGTAGGGTGTACTTGATCAGTCCTTTGAACAGATAACTGTGGCAGAGGAAGCTTGTCCTGAGGGGTCCTCCTTGAGGTACCTATTAAAATTCCCAACCAGCCCGGGCCGTCTGCAACCTCCAGGGTAGCAGAGCCTAGAAGTCACTACCCCTCTGTGGACCTTGCTTTGTCTTAGCTGGTAGCCCCAGGCCCAATCAGAGGGTTATCTCTGT